AAAAGAAAGATGGGAAGCTCTGCCCAGTCCAGGATTATTATTGTCTCAATAAGGGTACTGTCAAAAACAAGTACCTGCTCCCCCTGATTCAGGAGCTCATTAATAAGACACATACATCCAGGGTTTTCACTAAGTTGGACGTTTGATAAGGATACAATAATATTTGGATCTAAGACAGAGATGAGTGGAAGGCTGTATTCTGAACCAATTGTAGATTGTACAAACTGACTGTAATGTTCTTCAGACTAACTAACTTGCCTACAACATTCTAGTCATTCATGAATCACATCCTCACAGATCTGATTGACTCAGGACACATTGGTGTGTATCTGGACAACATTCTGATCTTCACCCAGACAGTTGAGCACTATTACTGACTGATCCAAGCAGTTCTACAACAGCTCTAAGATAATAAACTGTTCCTCTGAGAAGCAAAGTGCTCTTTTACACAGGAGTCAGTAGATTATCTAGGCTTTGTGATCAGTAGAGGAGAGGTCTGTATGGATCTGGCAAAGGTGACTGTAGTTCAGAACTGGCTACAACCTTGGAACCTGAAACAGGTCCAAGCATTCCTTAGGTTTGCAAACTACTACTAATGCTTCATTCAAGGCTTTAGTACCATTGCCCAGCCCCTTCACAATCTCACTAGCAAGGATGTTCCTTAGTAATAGGATGATCAGCAGTAGTCTGTGTTTGAGTCCCTCAAGCAGGCCATCACTAGTAAGCCTGTATTAGTAGTTCTAATGGTTGCAGACAAGTTCCAAGTTGAAGCTGACTCTTCCAACTTTGCAAATAGAGTAGTACTGTCCCAGTTCATTGACAGAAAGTAGTGTCTGATAGTGTTCTGATCAGAATCCCTCTCTGTAACAGAACAGAACTACCCCATCTATGACAAGGAACTCCTTACAATTGTCTGTTCCCTGGAAGAGTGGTGTCAATATCTCCTTAGTACTGTACAGAAGTTTGAGATTTAGAGTGATCACCTTAATCTCTAGTACTTCCAGGTGCCCCAGAAGCTCAACTGCTACTAAGCCTGCTGGATGTTAGAACTGTAGGACTTTGACTTTGTACTGACCCACAAACCCAGAACACAAATGACAAAAGCTGATTTACTCTTGAGACAAGTAGGTCATGAAAGGGGGGAGAATGATAATGAAAATCTTGTTCTCCTAGACAATTCCTGTTTTGTGTCTGAGACAATCCAAGAGATCCAACTCAAATCTAAGGATGTTGACTTTGTCACCTACATACAGTAAGCTCTGAGACACACACAGGACTGGGTTGTAGTGAAGTAGCTAGAGAAGCAGGCAAGGGATTGGGAGGAGGATAAGGATGGACAGGTTTACTGGGAAGGCCAACTGTATGTTCCAAAGGATCAGAAACTGTAGGAGGACATTGTCTGAGCTCATCACAACAATCTGACTGTAGGACATTCAGACTGACACAAAATGCAGAAACTCATCACTCAGAACTACTGGTGGCCCAGAATACAGAGGGAAATCCTAAAGTATGTGACTAGTTACAATACATGCTAACAGACTAAGGCCTACCAGACAAGGGTTTGGGCTCCCCTACATTTGTATTGGATCCTGGATCACCCTTGGGAAGAAGTCTTGGTGGACCTGATCAGTAAGCTACCTGAGTCTTAGGGTTACAATACTATCTGTGTGATTGTTGACTGATTCTCCAAGCAAGTCCACACAGTTCCAACCTGAACAGAACTCACTTCTGAAGGTATAGTGTGCATTTATCAGGATCATGTCTTCTAGTTACACAGACTCCCTCAGAAGCTCATTCATGATTGTAGACTGTAATTTGAGTCGAAATTCATACAGGACTTGTATGTGCTTCTTAGAATTCAAGGGAACCCTTCTACTACCTATCACCTGCAGACTGACAGTCAAACTGAGTAAGTCAATCAGGAGATTGAGCTCTACCTCCAGATGTTTATCAATCATCAGTAATCAGATTGGTCTGAATGGCTAGCTCTGGCAGAATTTGTACACAATAACTGGCAACACTCTGTAACAGGACAGTCCCTGTTCTTCCTCAATCATGGGAGACATCTGTACTAGGGGACAGTTCTGAACCAGAACAGTAGTTCCAAATCTGTAACAGACTTTGTAGAACAGATGCACAGAACCAGGAAGGATGTACAAGCTCTTTTGGAAAAGGCAGTATAGGTCATGAAGCAGAACTATGATTGGAAGAGGTCCACAGCCAAGGATTACCAGCCTAGTGACAAAGTTATGCTGGAAGCCACTAACCTGACCACAGATTGCCTAATGAAGAAGTTGGACAACAAGTGCTTTGGACCCTTTGTTATTGAAAAGAAGGTTAGTGCCTCTGCCTACAAACTCCAACTTCCAGCAACATGGAAGCACATACACCCAGTGTTTAACAAGGTTCTACTGTCTCAATACTATGATCCAGGTTTTCCTTCACAACAAAGACCCCCACCACCTCCACCAGAACTCATTGGTTCTGAACCAGAATACAAAGTAGAATACATAGTGGATGCTAAGCTGGTGCACAGAAAGCTCAAGTTCCTTATTTACTGGAAGGGATACCCAGTTGAAGAACACACTTGGGAACCTGCTGAGAATCTCACCCATACTGCTAAGGTGATCCAAGACTTCTATTGACTTCATCTGGGTGCTCTGTGTCAACTCTACCTTACAGATTTCCAAACCCTACTGTTCCAACCTATGCCTGAGCTACTGACTGAGCCCAATACTCACTAATCAGGACAATTGGTTTTAGAGGGGGGGTGATGTTACAGTTCTCTACTCTTGTACCTTTAGTTCTAAGGGTTCTGCACCCTTCTGTACTGGAACTCAGGACTTCTGTCCCTCAGGGGTGCTGTCTATGAACTATATGCATACTGACTCTTGCCACTACCCTTCCTTACTTCATCATTCCATTCCTTTGACCACCCCTTCATTCTTTGTATCATTCTATAGTCTCTTACCCTTTATCTATCCCTTCATTCTTTGTACCTTTATCTTTGACATTCCTTTCTTTCATTCTTTGTGGCTCATCATTCTTAGTAGCTCATGCTCCCTGAGTGCTCTTGTGTAGTTTAGTATATATAGGTGTACAAGATCAGACTGGTCCTGTAGTCTTGATCTTGTCTACTCCAGGTAGTCCTGTACTCTTAGGCTCACTCTATATACTCTACTCTTGTCTCACTCTCTCTCTCTGCCTGTTCTGCAAGTTCTGACTATGTTCTAGTGCTCACATCCCATATTTCTGTTGTGTAGGATAGTTGTAGCCTGGGTCCCCTCACTGAGCCTTCAGGTCCCCTCTACACTGTTACTGACAATAACCTGTTAGCCTACCTAAATCCTAAGGCATCTTAGAGGGGAATCACACAACAAGGGGTGTAGTAGACTCTACTCATTGTTTGTTAAGCTTCATTGTCTGTTAATTAGAGTACTATTTATACTAATAATATCTATGTTTTGGATGTGTGTCTCAATTCAGTATGTTCCATCACAATAACATACTTATGACAGTATATATACATACTATCCAAGACATTATGAGCATACTAATTGCTAATGTTAACACACTAGCTACTTAGTATAGAGATTCAATGTGACAGAGAGTATAGATTCATTAGAATGTATCAGACACATTATATTAATAGTATAATAGAACATTACAAACTTACAAACAAACAAAGTGTACAAACACTTATACAGTCTAGTACACAATTAAAAACAGTATTACAAACTAATAACAATAGAGAACAAATGTCTAATATACTATACATAAACATAGTTAGTGTACTTAGATACATTGTAGACTGTACACAGTCAGATATAGTATTTGTAACAAATCAGTTAGCTAAATACTTTAATGACCCTAGTATAGAGTATTATCTAACACTTAAACATTGTTACATGTACTTAAAAACTATAAACAATGTCTGGCTCTAACTCAGTAGTACAAATCAATCAATATTAAACAGATATACAAACATAAACAGTATAATGCAAGAAGGGCATTATGTAATATCAGGAAATACATTTTACTTGAGCAATTCATTAGTTTTGTAGTCAAGTAAAAGACAAACACTGGTAGCAAATTTAACATATGAAACTGAATTAATAGCTCTTGTAAGAGGAACACAAGAAGTAATCACACTTACTCATTTAGCTGAAGAGATTCTACAGGTCTCTGATACACTAATTAATATCCATTATAATAATAATACTGTTATACAAATGGTTACATCAGACAAACTCAAATATTTGGAACAAACAAAGTATTTAGATCATAAGAAAGATTTTATTAAATGTTACATTGAGTTAGAGTACATAAATGCAAAATACATACAGACAAACAATCAACAAGCAGATATATTAACTAAAGCACTATATGTACCACAAGTCAAACATCTTACCAGTTTACTTAGACTAGTAAGAGTTTGAAGGAGAGTATTATGAGATGATTAGTTCATTAACAGATGAACCATGAGACAATGACTTTATAATGTCTCAGTTAGAATACATACAATATAAGGATGAGAGACACTGAGCAGTCAATCATCACCTCACCCCTTGTCTATGCATGCCCCCCTTAAGTTTTCCCTCTCAACACTTTCTTATAGTATAAGTAAACAGAATATTAATCTATACGGACGTAGTCGTCAGGAATGTACTACAAACCTTGATAAGTACTAAAGCCAGTTTCGCTTCGGCGTCATTCGCCTTTTACTGAGCTCCTTGTAGTTCGCGCTTCAAACGCTGATTCTCAGTTCTGAGCAGTTTGATGAGGTCATATGTCAGAGTACTCTCGTCTTGCGCTGTTGCTTCCTTTTGCGACATGACTAGATACCTAGAGAAGACTGAGAATGCAGTGTGCGCTGAAGGATTCGGGAGGAAGGCGTTCTTTAACTTTGAAGATCACGTGCCCCTCGCGTGGTCGTGTATCGATCGACGCGTTGCACGCCTCAAGCAAACGTTCACCAGCCCCCTTGCTTTTGACCGCGGCGTCATCACACTCGACGCGCTTTCTACAATAATACTCGGCTAGGACTCTGAGAATATAATGGGAGGTGATGATGGTCGGCACAGTGTTCCGGCTCGCATCGGAAATTGGCTGTTGGACCAGAACCTCGGTGCAGGTTACTCTGGTTAGCCGCTTAACTATCTGCGTGTATGGATGAACTTTTGATGAAGTAAACTGTTGCAGGATCAATATGGCGTGCAACGAATCCTTATACTGGGCAGGTAGCCGCAGTCAAGGTACAGGACGTCGATCACGAATGTCCAACCAACAGGTGACCAATCTATAGCGTGGAATCAAATGTCCTACTTTCTCACCTTTATACATTGCAGATATGAACGCAACTTCTATCCTTCTCTTCAAGGTGGAAAAGGCATGCCTACTCTATGGGCAGCAGGCGTTCAAGGAGAGCACGACTACCTCGGTGAGACCTTCGCACTTTCGGCGGCTCGTAGTTAACTTATTTAATTATGACCGTTCAATTCAGTTATTGATCTCCTCGGAGCATCCCTTGATAATCTATATCGCAAGAACGGGAAGATGTTTGACCTACGAAGTACCATCTGTATCGCTATGCAAGTCGTGAGTATCATCCGTCCACTCAGTCTCCAAGCTGTATAATTATGAGACTCGCACAGATCCAACGTCTTGAATTTATGCACTCGAGAGGGATCCTGCATCGAGATATTCAACTCGGAAATTGCACACTCGGGCTGGGGAGGATGGAACGAGTCATCTACATGATCGACTTCGGTTTCTCCAAACGATACATTGATCCTCGTACTCGAAAGCACATTCCCGATAGCAGAGCGAAACGTGACTTCATTGGCAACTATTGGTTCTCGTCGGTCAATGTCCACTGTCGGGGTCGAGGTAGCATATTTCACACTTAATATTCTCTTTAAATGACGAAAAACCTTACTAGTACCATCCCGAAGAGACGACATGGAAGCTCTAGCTCTCATGCTCATCCACGTACTCACAGAAGGTGGCCTGCCATGGACGCGTAATGGCGTGCCGAAAACGGACAAAGCACACGATATCCTCATTCGTCAAAAACAACGCGCTAAGCCTGAAGAACTGTGTCACGGACTCCCACCTGTTTTCGAAGATTTCTTAAGGTACTGTAGACGACTAAAGTTCTTTGAACAGCCAGACTATAGATATTGGCGAGACCAGTTTGCAGACCTTGCGAGAGAGGTGGGGTATGCTGAGCCTGATGGATCTGTGAATGATGACCTTGTTTGGCCACCTCGACCGGATGAGGTATGCTTTTATACAGTCTTATATCTTCCAAGCACACTGCTCAAGAATATTTTTAGGCGCCTGTACCATACCGAACACCGGCTTCACCGCCTCGTCGTAAAGCCGAAGGAGAAGTCGACATCTACCACATCCTCGAAGAAATCGCCAAAATGCGACTAGACAACACGAAATTGGTCAAGGAATCGAAGCGCAATGCCAACCTTCTTCCTGTTGGGAAATCAAAGACGCCTCCAATCGTTCCGAATACGACTTCTGATAACTCGGAGACGCCAAAGGCGGCCCGGCCTCAAGCTGGTGCTCCAGCACGAACGGACTCGAAGGACTCGAACAACGGGAACAAGCCGACTAAACACATGGGTCTGATCGTCATCAGCGACTCTTCTTCCTCCGAATCGAACCTCACCCGAACAACCACCACCGAAAACACCAACAAATCTTCAAGACAATTAGACCGAGCGACGAAACAAGCAACGCTCCGGCTCCTTACACGTCGAGTGCGCGAGCAGCAAAACGATAACATAAATGCAAATACCGCTCTAGCGGATTTGTTGAAGCGGTTTTTGGAGATGTATTCGTTAGGTGGAGGAGTTGGAGGGAGGAATAGGAGTCGAGTGATTACGAAGGATGCGTTTGAGTTTTTGGATGCGCTTGTTGAGCGGTTAGGGTCGGATTCAGAATCAGATGCAACGACGAATTCGAATTCATCGGTGATCGTAGTCGAACGAAAGAACTCGAAAGAAGGAGCGAAGAGTTCGGATCCCTCAAACTCAAACTCACAATCCGATCCTTTACAAAGTACACAAAGTCGACTCGATAACCGCGACCGCTCCGTCCTTCCACCCTCGTCCCAACAACAACCAAGGGAAGGGAAAATCGAAACCGTTAGAGCCCTCCGACACCGTCTCCTCTCCCTTCCTTCCATACCCCCACTTTCCTCAATCGAACTGTCGAGGATATTAGGCGATTTTTGTGCAGCTGTACGTTCGACGACGGGGAAGACGCTTACGAAGGATGGGGTTGCGTTCCTTGAGGGTGTTGAAGAGAGACTTAGACAGTTGGCCGTCTCTTCGTCGTGACTATGATTGATTGTGTGTGTGGTGTGGTGAAGAGGAGAACGGAAACACGGACGAATATTAGCATATACGAATAATATACCTAAAAACTACTTGGTTAGGATTTTCTTGAACAGACGTGTAAAGTATCTCATTCTAGTTCTAGAGACTAGTTTTACTTCAGCGTGTATTCTTAATTAGACGGTCTAGATTCCGCTTGTTTGAGCTTTGTACCAGTTCTAAGTCGGTTGTTAAGCATGCACTGTATGCCCAAAGGTAGCCAGGGCTACCAACATGCAGGTCCTGCCCAGATCCGTCTAGGTTGCCCTGAACAGTCCCTGGCAGGTCCTATGGCTTCACACCAAGGCCTGATGCACCCAACCCTTAGAGCCAATCCTTTCCCCAAAGTTACAGATCCGTTTTTCCAACTTCCTTTATCTACATTGTTCCATCAACTAGAGGCTGCTCACTTTGGAGACCTGCTGTGATTATGAGTACAAACCAGTTGTGAAAATAATGCATTCCCTTGGATTTTCAATGGTCGTTGAGAGTGCACCAGACCTGACAGAGGTGTCAAGCTCTACCTGCCATGGAACCCTAGCTAGTTACTCCCATTGTTTACCCACGCTTGGTTGAATTTCTTCACCCTGACATTCAGAGCACTGGGCAGGATCACATTGTGTTAGCACCACTTTCTGGCCATCGCAATGCTACGTTTTTTTTATTTTTTTATTTTTTATTTTAAATTAGACTTGGACAGTCAGGTTCCCCTTGTCTGTACCAGCTCTAAGTCGGTTGTTAAGCGTGTACTGGACGCTCGAAGGCAGCTAAAAGCTCTCAACTCACACAGGTACTGCCCAGATCCGTCCAGGTTGGCTCAAACAGTCTCAGGCGGGTCCCAAGGCTCGAATCCAAACACCTGTACATTCATTTCATTTGTGGCACAGTTTTCCTTTGCTTTACATTCGCTTTTTAAGGCTCGAGTGAATTGCTTCCATTAGATCCATGCAAGTAGATGTGCAGCGTGAATAAGTTACATGAAACATGAAAAGGAAGCGGGTATCGATGCAAAATACGGTAATAAAGCTATTACTTCTTCTCCTGCATGTACTCCGCCTTATACCACTACAATTTGGAACAAAGTTAGTAATTAAATAGAAGAAAACACAGAGAGAAAAGAGAAAACTTACATCACACATCCGCTTAACACCCTCAACAACACCCACATCCGGCTCATACCCAAGCACAAGCCTTGCCTTCTCCATATTATGCCACCTCGTCGCACAAGTAAACGCAACCCTAAACCTCGTAAACGTCGGTTCCTTACCAGTTACCCAACCCCACCCTTCCGCTAAGGTGGCAATTACACCGGCCAGAGCTCTCGGGAGTTTAATATAACTTCGGTCTAATGGGTCACCCATTTCGTGCCAGACGGCTCGGGCAAAGTCCCAGAAGTATACGGGCTCGCCGTTGGTGATGAAGAATACTTGGCCGTCGACGCGGAGTGGGTCGGATTCAGTGCGTTCGATCGTTGCAGGGCTGAGTTGGTCGAACCGGCTACGTGTGATGGGCCGCGATTCATAGTGAGGGCTAGCACGGTAGGCTTCTTCGAGTTCTTCTGCGTTTGGTGGAGGTTGCATCGCAGGTCCGATAGGCCGAGCTGTTGACGTAGGAACACGACGTACTCCGGTTGAGAGGTCGATTGTGGGGAGTGGTCGGAGTACGGCCTCCTCAAGGTCCGGACGTGGATTTGAGAGTCTGTCAGCTGCAAGGAGATGCGCTTTTGCGACGTTCGTCACGTATGTCCATTCGAAGAGGTTGTTGTTGTCACCAATTTGGAAGTGCGTCTGTCTGTTGTAGAATACTTGCATTAAGCCTTGCATGGCTTGTCGGTCCCCTGGGCTGAAACCGAAGAAAAAATACTATTAATAGAACAAAAAATTAAAACGCTGGGGAAGTATGCGTACCCGTAAATGCCTGCGGGACGGAGAGCGACGGTTAGGAGCCCGCTCTTCCCATTTGCCTCTAGCACAAGCTCTTCCGCCTTGGCTTTTGACTCGTTGTACGCATCGAACGGCGGCTCAGGGTATGGCAATCGCTCGTCGACGTTAATAATGTCTTGCCCGTTGAAAACGACACCGGCACTGCTCGTGAACACAAGCTTTTTGATGTTCAACGCAGTCGCGGCAGAGATAACTGCCTTGGTCCCCTCGACGTTTACTTTCCAATAAATGGCGGGATCCAAACCGTGGGGCGGGGACGCAGTGTGAATTATACATGTCGTGCCGCTCTGCCGAGGCCGAAATTTACAAAGTCAATTATTTCAATTAAGAAAAAGAGAGAGCAGTTTGGTTACCTTGCGAAAAGCATCCTCAACTTGACTCTGTACCGAAATGTCGGCATTGTAAAATGGGACATCGTGATGCCGTTGGACAATGTCAAGCACAGAAACGGTGTCCCCGCGGTTCAGAAGTGCCTCGACAATGTGCCGACCAAGAAAGCCACTGCCACCGATGACAATATAATTTTCCTTCGTCGCAGACATGACTTGTACTGAGCAGAACGACGGAGACGGTGAGGGCGAGGAGCAAGGCCTGAATTGTCTGCTGAGCGCTGAGTTGCTGAAGTCGTGCCATAACTTGGAGTGAGTGTTCGGCAAATACCGAGGAGGCACCTGACCGCGTCCACTCGAAACGCGCCTCACTGTGCGCACAACGAGCACAACGACGACGAGGACGACGACAGCGACAGCGGCGACAATGGAGACACCTCCACGCGAAAGGCCAAAGGATAGCAGACCTCGACTTAGCTCTGATGAGAAAAAACAACTGCTCGCAAACCTCGATCTTGAAGGTGAGTAGCTCATCCAGTGGTTGTTTTAAACAGGTGCTGACTGGGAACTATGCACAGTGCAACACCGAGCACGTCAGTTCGAAGAGACGCTCGCTCAAGTCCTCGAGAACTTCAAGAACCACCATGAAGGCCAGGTCCTGCGTGTTCCAAAGCTCGTGAGGGGGATAACTATGGCAGAGTTCGCGGACAAATACAACGGCGATATCAACGCATGTCTGCGTGGACTGCAACGGGAACGACAAGGTGGTGAGCCGACACTTGACCCAGCATCGAAAAAGCGGAAATGGAAGGATACGGACGAACAGCCTGGCCCGGAGGATGCAGAGTCGTCAAGGGCACCCAAGACAGGTTTGCTTGCCGTTTACGTTTGTCTTGACAGAGTTGCTTAAAGACTTTCTGTTCAGCTCGGTTTGGATCCCCCGTTAAGATGAACGCCGCTAATATCATAAAATCACGTCTAAACAAGACTCCAAGCACGGTATGCGCTTGATCTATGCATCCCTATCGTTGTGACGCGTCTCTTACATCACCTATCTAGCAACGCACACCTCGCCGCCTCTACCCACCTCTCGGACCAAACTCACCATCCAAACTCCCATCAACTCGTCCACAGAGCCGCTTCATGTCCCCTACAAAGGCATCAGCCTCTCGCACCGCATCCGCCTCCACCACCGCCTCCCGCGTCCCTTCCTCATCGAACTTCAACCCCGCCATCCCCAAAACACCCGCCTACCCTCGACTGCCTCGTAAAAACGAGAACATCATGAGTGTAAACGGGAGTCCATTAGTTCTTCCCGGGAATCGAGAACGGGACAGGGAGAAGGACAAGGGCGGTGTTGTTGATACGATTGATGAAGGGGAAGAGGGGGAGGTTGAGCCACACGTACGACAACAGCAAACAATTAAACGTCAGAAGAGTATCACCATTCGACGAGATCCTACCTTCGCAATGAACGGCGACGGTGTTGGTATGCCGCGTTCACGTTCACCCTCACGCGCAGCACATTCCAGCTCGGGTTCCTCAACATCAACCTCAACAAGTTCTTCTCTACCCTCAATTGAAAGCAACCAACCCAGTGCATTCATGCGCGTCCCAACGAAAGACGGGTTGGTCCTCGAGTTCGATCCGTTACTCACCACACCCGCGGAGCTGGATGCGTTAGAGGGCATTACAGAGAGTGCGAAGAAGCAGGCGAGAGAGGATATGACGCGCTTGGTGCAGGCTGCTTTGTCGCGATGGAAGATTTAGTTGTTTTCCATCTTCCCCCTCACTGTCTCTACGCTCTGTCTTGTCTTACTTGCGCAGTGTTTTCATAGCTCCAGTCCTCGTCTCGTTTATTTGATTCCTCCTTTTTTCCGCATATATAATACTCTACCTAGTGTCGATGTAAACCTCACGTCCTTTCCTCTCCTTTGTCTTAATCTGCCCAGGGACAGACAGACACACTGTACCACAAAAAACCATCGCATTGCATTTCATGATAGAGACACTTTGTCCACAGAGTATAATTAGTGTTTTCATATCATGTCATGAGTTAGCTTCCACCAAATACAGATATTATACATTGTAAAATCCTTTAGACCCCGTCGAGCACCAATATGAACCAAGTTTACCCATCTCTCAGTCCGAACGTCAGGCCGTTCTTTAAGTTCTATAGCTGCTTTACAAAGTCCAGCAGCTGCCCGCAAGTACCTCGCTTCGCTCTCGTCGCAATCACACATGTACTGATAAACTGTCTTAGCGAAAAACGGTCCATCCTCGTCAAGTAACTCCCACATAGATCCAATCACGCTTCGAAATCCGGAGAACTGCATCGCCGCAGCCAGGTGAAGCACTTCATCATGTGTACCATCATGGGATTGTTCAGCGGTAGGCAGGCAGAAAGGAATGCGAACTCCGCGTTTGGAAGATTTGCTTGGACAATATCGAGTAAAGTTAATCCGCGGTCGGATACCTTGAACGACGAGTCGAAAGGCTTTGAGTTTAAGCCTCCATGGCAAACGAAATGTACCCATGTCGTTTTCCGGAGTGCCTTAATCACTGTAGTGTGGGACGTCTTGCTACTGAGTAATTTAGACTGAATGCCACAATTCTTGATCCTGCGAATTTCTGTCTTAGCTGACGGAAGTGAAGTATCTCCAATAATGAGAGCAGTAGGTTCTTCCACGTATCCACATGACTGCGCATTAATAAGTGCCCCGAGCGTTGGAGTATACGACGAGATGTACTTGTCCAATAAATATATGTCAGTGCTGTCTGTATTCTCTATCGGACCTGCGGCATGGAAGGGAAGCGCAGTCAGCACAGACGTAGGACACCACCAAATGCGCGATCCTTCAGTAATTCCAAGCTCGTTAAATTTGTCGACGACTTTGGAGACGACCCTATCCCACAACATCTTCATCGCTCGGCGGAGCACCTCGTCATATTCCAGTGAGTAAGCCCCGGAGTCTATGCGCGTTGACAAGAGATCGTCGTATAACTCGATGCTATCATTGTAGAACTTTTCGTCTAATGGGATGCAGACAACTGGTAGTTCTTCGCGGGAGAGAACAATGAGCGCATCACATCGATACTTGCTATGGTTTACCACAATGACTGGCCCCACAGAAGCCGCCTGTTGGAGTAACTTAAACGGCGTAGCTGCAAGAAAGTTTTTAAACCCAGGGGATTCGTCGTATCTTACATATAACGTCCTCCTGCTCGAAAGAGAGTTGCTTCTTCAATTTTAGCCTTTCCTCGAATAATTTCCGTCCTTCATGCACGTCCGAAACGGAGGACCCGCTTCCTGTTGTACTCGAATTAGACTGCAGCACAGAAGATGATGTTGCGAGATTCTCCAGCTGGTTGTTGATATCCCTAAGCCTGTCAGCCAGATCGCTGTCTCTTTCCGCAAGCTGATCTAGAGCTTTCCTAAAACCACGCATCTGCGACCAGAGTAAGCCCCTTCCTTGCTCAAGTATCTCAATAGCCTCTTCGAGCCTGTTTCTCTCTACAGCGTAATCTAGAGTGAACGTCCTATAGTAGTAACTTTTCCGGCTGAGGAAGTCGTGCTGCGTATGAAGAGTAGGACTAATAATCAGAGCACGTTGTAGGAGCAATATTGCTGCTTTGTAAGCTCTAGACGTGGAGTGATGAGCATGGCTTCGAGCAGAATTAGACCATTGGTTAGCAGTTTGGAGACGAATACCTGGGCCTGAAAACTCATGCACGGTAGCACGTTCGAGCAATCCAATACATTCCTCTAAATTATCGGCATTCCCGAACTTCTTAAACCGAGAGAGCAATGAAGTAGCGAAGTTTCCCAGCAGTTTGGAATGATCAGGATGACCTTCTGGACAGAGCTCCAAGGTGACACGGTGCAGGTTAATGGCCTCGTCGATGTCTGTCATCTGTCCAAGCCGTTCAAATCGGGTTCGAAGGGAATCTGCAAGGTTATTTAGAGACCCGAAACGATCGGGATGGCCCTGGGGGCGAAGTTCTAGGGCAGCATAAAGATGCTCGATGGCTTCATCGAGATCCAGGGATTGTCCATGCTGTTCAAACTGAGCTTGAAGGGCATTTGCAAGGTTATGCAGACACCCAGAACGACCGGGATGGTCTTTAGGGGAAAGGCCTAGGGCAGAACGATGAAGTTTAACGGCCTCGTCGAGGTCTGCAGATTGTCTATTCTGTTCAAACCGTATTTCAAGCGCAGCAGCAAGATTATTTAGATATATGGAGCGATCGGAATGGCCGTAGAGGCAAGCTTCTAGGATGGAACGGAGAAGTTCAACAGCCTCATCGAGATCCGTGATCTGTTCGAACAGTTGAAAGCGAATACGAAGTGAATTTGCAAGGTTATTCATGAATAGGCGATATTGCGGATGGTCCTTAGGTGATAGTTCCAATGCTGCACGATGATGCTCAATCGCCTCATCGAAGTCTGCGGTCTGCCCACAATGTTCAAACCGTGTTCGAAGGGTAAGTGCAAGACGACTCAGGATGATGGAACGATGAGGATGGCCGTCGGAGCAAAGTGCCAGGGCAGCACGATGAAACTTAGTAGCTTTGTTGAGGTCCATGGTCTGTCCATTCTTTTGGAATCGAAGTTGAAGGCAATTTGCGAGTTCTCCCAGCGACGAGAGACGCTCGTTGTGACCATCCGGGCGAAGCTGAAGCGCAGCTCGATGATGGTTAATGGCCTCCTCAAGGTCTGTTGTCTGTCTATGCCTTTCAAACCGATTTCGAAGGGAATCCGCAAGCTTATACAGGAACCAGGAACGATTAGGATGGCTGTCGGGATGAACTTCTAGGACGGAACGGTAAAGCTCAATGACCTCATCGAGGTCTGTAACTTGTCCATACTGTTGAAATCGGGTTTCAAGGGCAACTGCGAGTTCACTCAGAAGCCCCGAACGTTGAAAACGGCTGCCGGGGAAACATTTCAATGCAGCACGAAAATGCTCGATGGAATCATCGACGTCTTTAGTCCGTCCAAATTGATCAAATCGAGCTTGAAGCGAAAGTGCAAGGCTATTCAGAGACCAAGAACGACCGGGATGGCCATCAGGACGAAGTTCCACGGCTAAACGATGGAGGTCGACAGCTTCATCGATGTCCATTGTTTGTCTGTCCTGTTGAAATCGAGTTCGAAGGGAAATCGCAAGGCTATTCAGCAACATGGAACGATTGGCATGGCCCTCAGGGAGAAGTTCCAGGGCAGAACGTTGAAACTTAATGGCCTTATCAAGATCTGACATTTGTCCATGTTGTTCGAATCGAAGTTGCAGAAACTTTGAAAGGTTGTGCAGAGGTCTGGAAAGGTTGGGATCGGTATCGGGGAAAAGTTTCAGGGCAGCACGGTGCAACTCAATCGATTCGTCCAAATCTTCTATTCTCCTGCATCGCTCGAATCGTTCGTAAAGAAGAATTCCAAGGAAATTCAATACTTTGAATCGATCTGAATGCTCTTCCGGAGCAAGACCAAGTGCAATACGAGCATGAAAAATAGACGCGTCATGTTCTTCCCAATCTCCTGATTGTTCAAAACGCTTTCGGTGTTGAAAGGCCAGTCGGTGGAGTACACCACAAATCAGATCGAGGTTAACTGAGTATTCCATGTCGGCTCGGGATCGTGGCAACGTTTGTTGTCACTTCCGATTCTTCTTTGTTGACTCGTATATTCAGCTAAAACGGGAAAATGAAAGCTATTGTGCGAACATCACCTGAAAATTTCCGTCGTCCTTGAAACCTGCTGGTGGTAACGACTTTCTTCGACACAAAAGGTTACCTAAGAGGCTAATAATATTCCTTGTTATCGTCCGTACGTATACCAAAGCGAAAGAGATGAAGAGAGTATCTTGGAAGAAACACACAAACGATCAATGCCACACACACGAGTGTAACGTTGTGTCTCTCCACCAGAGGTTGGCACCACGGCCTGGCTTCTGAGGCACAACGTTTGGGTTGAGGGTAAAGTCAAGCGCTTATATACTGCACTAGTACCAGCCATGTTGGCGACACGTTCAACCTGTGATCACGGTTTAACGCTGAGGGAGCAATTTTGAATTCAGTCGAGACGTGTGTATTACGTAATTAATTCTAGCAACGGGAAATTGGAATAATTGCTTACTTCCGAATATGGAAAACATTTTCACCCACTGTTGATTTCTGCATGTTTCTGAACAATCAATCTGAGCTGAGACTGAACCTCTATCACTGCATCAGTTGGGCCCACAGTCGTTAAGGTATAAATGTATCCCTACTATGAATATTTCAGCAGACAGCGTCTAAATAGTATCATCAGTGATTAGTCATTTACCTTGATTTCTGCCGCACGAATTGCGTAGACCTGCGCACAGCATGTCCGGCACGCCTACAAAATGCAGCCGAAGTCGGTTCACTAATGCGCCTGGTTAACTTACTTGCCGTGCGCAGTCGATATGCGTAATGGCCACGGCGTCGAGAAACGTGAGATTTACTTATATTGGCGAGAAATGCTGCAACAGAAGATCAAAGACATTTTATAGTTTCTACCAAGGCTCTTGGACACGATGCAATCTCCTCCTAAAGTCCTTATCGTTGGATCTGGACCCGCAGGCCTCATCCTTGCTTTATCACTGCTGAAGAACGGGATACCAGTTCGGATTATCGAGAAAGATGCTAAACATCATAATGGCGAACGTGGTCCTGGAGTAATGGTAAGATACTTTGTATCTTCCTCCTGTGAACAATGTCTAATTGCTCTTTTACTAGCCACGCACGCTTGAAATCGAGCATTTCCTTGGTGCTGAAAATGACGTCCGCAAGACTGGGGCTAGGCCAGCAACGATTCATTTTTTTGACTCGGAAGATCCTCACCGCATCAAAAAGTCTTCAAGTTTGATTCAAAATGTCGAGCCAACACCTGCTTTCCCAATTGTAAGCATTCTGAGTGGCTGATGCAAACATAGACATTAATATCCTCTTAAGACCCGACCGGTAGTCCTTGGCCAATGGCGCCATCAGGCCATCCTTCGCAAGCACATCGAAGCTCTTGGTGGAGTCATCGAGCTCGGATCTGCTTTTATTGGCTGTACACAGGACGGGAATGGTGTGACAGCAGTGATTAAAAAGACAACAGATGGCGTAGAGCATACAGAGAACGCTCGATTTGAGTATCTCGTAGGCGCGGACGGCGGACGAAGTAAATCGAGTTATCTGCTTATTCTGCACTTTAAAGTGTCTTACCGCCATTTCAGGTACTGTGCGGAAAGCCATGGGTGTCGATTTCCATGGAGAAACCCGTGAAGAAGGAAGGCTGCACCTTGTCGATACTCGTATAGAAGGTCTTGGTGTTAACACGGTAAAGGCATCGTATTTGTGTTTTTATTCAAGTTGCTGAGATCTATCCAATTTTTTAGGACATTTGCATGTGGGGCAGCCACAAGACTGCAATGTAAGTTTACTCTATCGCGGGTACTACAGCTCACTTACCCTCCGCCAGGGTAGTTGTTAGGCAAACAGTGGAGCCTGGTCTGTTCCAGGTGATCTTCTCTGGTCCCGAAGTGAACTTCGACTACCTCAGAGAACATGATGACCCGCAAACAATTCAGAATGAACTACATAGGATCATGAACCGCACCGATATTCGAGTTACCGGAATAACTTGGCACGGCGAATGGAGGTCCGTCGAATACATACATTTCACTTAAAAATGATAATAACGGATTAGCCTAGACCGAATATTCGCATGGTGGACCATTTCCAAGTCGGAAGACTGTTCATTATTGGCGGTACGTTCGTTTGTTTGACTAACAAGGTTTTCTGCTGATATCAGTTCTACAGACGCTGCACACACACATTCTCCGACAGGAGGACAGGGATTGAACTCCAGCGTACAAGATGCTGTGAGTTCTGATTTCAGTGTACACGCTGATCTCAAGAATTCTAATCTAAAATTAGTTCAATCTTGGCTGGAAACTTGCACTCTCAATCAAAGGAAATGCTTCGCCGCACTTGTTAGAATCCTTCCAAAGCGAACGGCTCCCGGTAATCGCGGAGATGCTACAGCTCACGACCAAATTACTTGACCGCTACATTACGACTGGTTCCACCATCACTCAGACAACCGTCCAAGGCGCAACTGAGAAACAATCTCAAAAAAGTACGAGGGATGAAGACGTATGGTTCCGCGACAGGAGACTTCTACAACTCGATTTACACTATCGCTGGAGTCCGGTGGTCGTCGATGAGCGTTTTGCACCACCTAGCCCGGGTTCTATGGATGCGTATGGTGTGGTGGCCAAGGAAAGACGAGCCGGGGACCGGGCCCCTGACGCACCATCTCTCGTTGGACCAAATGCCCCAGATCGGCTTTTCGACATATTCCACCCAGCAAAGCACACTGTATTGCTGTTCGTTGCAGATCAATCCCAAGTCGAGCAAGCACGCGCGATCATATCCCCGTTTTCCTCGATTGATACGGGATTGATACAGGGGATACTTGTATTCCCAGCAGATACGGACGCATCGAATATTTCAGGCAGCGACATGGAGTTTGTTGTTGTGGACTCAGAGGGACACGCATTTACCAATTATGGCATTAACACGGAGGGTTTGCCAACGGTGGTGGTTGTTCGACCCGATGCCATTATCGGGGCATTTTTAAAGGCGGAGGCTGGTACCCGCAAATACCTTTCGGCTGTCTTCCAGACGATCCAGTGATTCCTAATGATACCCTGGAAGATTTACAGTTTGTTCTCCAACGCCCAACTTGGTTCAATAGTTGTTTCCCTACTGTACAATGACAATGCTTTTGTAACTCACTATTTGTCGTGATTGAACAGACACCGATTCCTTACTACAAGAGGTACAGTGTGATCTATCCCCCATACAGAGATACATTCGAGACTGACTCTATCATGCTAGCTAAGCACCGATGTGTATCATGTTAACCTATTCTTGGTCTGAAACCCTTTATAAACAATGCTTTGATGCGGATCTACAATTCCCACAGTTCTTTGCATATCACTTTGCCATATAAGAATTTCTACACTTTCCTTCAACATATAACTATCTTATACTTTCTTTTCTTGCTACCAATCAAAAATATTTCACTGATGTGCTGTACAGATGCATACTTTTGGTGCATTTAAAGCACTAAATTGAAACTATGTCAAACTATGTACTAAAGTGTTTCAAGGCAAATAGTATGTACATTTAAAAGTCTAACAGCTTAAACAAGATCTTATTGATTCAAGCTTCACAGTACACTATCTATAAGGCCACCTCAACCTTCATTATTATTACTATTTAAAATATTACTTAGAACACTATTTTGACTTACAAAGTGTTAACATGTATTACAAACAATACAATAATAATAGATAATACTAATAATACAGACAGAACAAATGGAACAAATGTAGAATAATAAGACATGTATTAGATACACAATATGTATCAGATAACAAATAATAATGATTCAGATATTTATGACATACAAACAGATGAATAATATAAATACAAACATTCTATTAACTATAATATAGATTATAACAGGTTTATGCACCTTTTATATGTTTTGATAACTTAAGAATTAAGCATTCCAACACAGAGTCATTTATAAGTGAATCAAGAGAAGCATATAGATCTTCATCTAGAATAATGTTTTCTTTTGGCTAATGAAAGGTTTAGTCAGAATGTTTCATACAGGGACTACGTTGAATTAACTGACAGAGCCAGACAAGTCTCCAAGATTAGTCAAAGGATCCTGGTTTGGAGGAATGTCTGTACCAGACTGTACTGAGGATAATATGCTGTCAAGCAGGCCTGGGATAGGAACCGAAGTCAACGAAATGGCAGCAGATGAGTCTGTAAGTGTTGAAAGTGGGAGGGAGCTCGTTATAGGCGCATCCGCTGTAGAAGCTATTAGACATCTACATAAACTAAACAGTGAGTAAGTAGGGACTGACTTGGAATTGTCTCCGTAGGAATCGGGAGCGACGTGGATAGCCCAACGGCAGTTGAGGTAGGCAAGTTTACGAGCGACTGCGATTCATAGAAAGAGATAGGCAGAGCCTCTGCAAAAACGGTGAAAGAGAGTGCAACTGCAACGAGAGCAAAGCAGCGAGGAATCATTGGAGCAAAAGAGTGGCAAAAGCAGATACTATGAAGTTGGTCTTTGAGGGCTGAGTGAGGAACTCTAAGAGAATGAATGAAACTAGACGTAGTCTCTTAGACTTTATATGCCGATTTCAGCGATCGCAGCATCTCCTACGACGTGCTTCAGTTTTATTCCTAGAAAGCACCAGAATCCTTGTAAAGCGAATCGCGATGTCATGAAGGTAGTCTTTGGGCAGGAAGCATATTGCTTGGAAGTTGCCTGGAATTTGATCTGACGTGTTCGTGCATATCCTCAAACATTGCACGGACGCAAACTATGAAAGGCATATCAGAGTGTAAGTGGTGCCAATGAGTTTGCATAAAAAGCAGCATAATGATGCCCGATCAATGGGCTCAATCGCACAGGAGCTTATGAGAATGCTTGGAGAGTGCCATTGATATTAGTCTTCCGCTGCAATAAAATTCGATATAAGAAACAAGTAATGAGTACGTCTTGAAGATGCATAAAATCATTCTCCTACTGTACCTCCACATTGGCATCAATTTTGCTGTAATCAGCGCATAATGCCAAGGTATTTTTGGAATGACTTGTGTTGAAGTAAGATTAGTAACGTTTGACATCAAGCTGAGGATCTAATCATCTACTCAACCTTGCTGATCAGCGCCGCGTCACGTCTCCTTTCCCGAACGTCCAACGTCGCAAGAGAGTTTTCTATGCTCTCTGTCCACTCTTTACAGGCATGTCGAATGGGCCGCAGATGCAGATCCTATTAAGATTGCGCTGCACTTCGACTTGCTTGTATCGAGTTCTCAGAGGGCGGGCAACTGACTCGGTGACGTGCCTATGGGAGGGCTGGTGTTGTAGCAAACAAGCCAAGTACGACACGAATCGACTAGCCCGTTAAGACCCTCACCCGTGCCACCTCAGCGAAGGCGACTTCATGGTGGGAGACTTCTAAGTGTTCTGTAGTTGAAAAGGGGCACTATTACACAATAGATTTCTTATCATATTGTATTTCAGATTTTTAATACAGTTGAATTTGAATCGTGCTCAAGCCTGACATGAACTTGGCCAGTTGTGAAAACAATGAAAACTATATGTTGCATACTTGTTACACAGTAATTTCTAGAACAACAGACCAGTTTAATTGCTTACCCTTGAATGTGGAAATATTTATATAGTTAAGCCTTACTATAAGGAAGAGAATGTCTGTAAAGTGTAAAAATGACTCAGTTCATTCATGTTTTATACTCAAAGATATACACCCATTACTAATAATTATTCTTCCTAACATTATTTTCGATTATTTCACTGTTGCTCTAATGTAGTGAATTTACTAAATCTTACGACATAAAATACAAGTTCTATGGTTCATGATAATATATACAACCATAACAGAGTGGCTATCATCCAAACTCATGCAGATTTAACGTAAGAAACCCAGACGATTTGTGCCGGATAGTTATTAATAACAACGTTGTACCATCTGTATATTGGTGCCTCTACTACATATAGTACAGTTAGTCATCAAACAAGTAGAATAAACACGTGCGAAAGGGTAATTGTACGTTACTTAAATCCTCGTCACGACAGAGTACCTGACTACCTTAGTTTAGCTGGCGAGTTCGACGAACGCAGCTCGGCAAATCGCACTGTGTTTGTTACGGAACTTTACAAGTGGGAGAGAGTTGACTTTCCCGAGTCTAATATTATCAATAATCGCCCATTCATCAATCATTATGCGGTCTATGCAGGAAATTAAAATAGCAGAGTACGCACCGATGTAATTGTTCCTTTATCTCGAGATAACTCGTTAATGAAAGTGCTCCGACGGCTTGACCGCGTCCGATAGATAGAGAATAGTGACCGCTTGTTACGTAGCCTATAATCAAGTCCTTTGAAGGCTTTAGGTCGCTCAACTGTATAGATGGATTCCAGACGTGACGCATTAGTCGAACAGATAGTCTTCGTTCCATATATGCTAACAAGAAAGAAGGAGAGAGGAGATTACGTACCTCAGTCTCCCTAAAGTCGCTTTTGCCGTCTTTGTCTTCGACGAGTTCCCTCCACTTCTTCACCTCTTCGTCGTCCACCTTATATATCACCGCGTTGTTCTCTGGAGATCCGGACAGGGGAACTGAGAGTCGTATGCCTACTATAGCGCTACGAAGGAGAGAGTCGTCCTTTGTAAGAGGTAGAGGTAGAGCAGGGAGGAATCGTTTTGCTCGAAGAGCGTTTATTTTTGTGAGTAAGTCTGATGCGGGAGTGGGTGAGTGCGCGAGGAGGGCGACGATAGAAGGAGCTTCGGGGCCTCTGAATAGCCATGGGTGTATATCATCGCTCGTTCCATCGTCTTCTATCGCTTCCTTCGGGCTTTGTGTTTTGTCTGGTAAGTCAACGTCCATAGTATCTCGTTGAGTTGGTACGAGGTCTCCTTCCACGTCTTCCTCGTTTATTTTCGTCTTCCTCCTTAGGCCAAGCAATCCCTCCCAATCAGGTATCCACGGACTCTCCGTCCCGACTTTCTCCCAATTGATCCTCTTCGCAGGAGGCTTCCTCTCCCACCTCTCCCGCTCCTCCTTCGCTCTTTCCCCTACACTCATATCATACGCCTCAGTGCATGGATAGTCGAATGGGAAAGCAGTGCAGCCAGCTTCGAACCGCTGTGTCGGGATTTCGCGTTGTCCGGCCACGCGTGTGCCTGTGTGGGTGAGGGAGGAGAAGAAGGGCATTCCCCAGCCTTTTGGGATGATGAGCGTCCAGCCGTGCAAGGGACGGGAGGATGACGAAGAGGAAGTTTGAGAGGACGAAGGGAGAGAGGATGATGGAGTTGAGATTCCGTGTGATTCGATGGAGCGCTGGATTAAGAGGACGGGTATGCGGTTGTCTTGACGGAGAGGATTTAATTTTGATCCGGGGATGAGATGCTAGATGCAAAGTCAATCATGATTGTCAGAAATAATCAAGAGTTTCCTTTACTTTCGACTTCCGCGCATCAATATCTTTCTTCTTAAAACGCGGTTTACTGAGTTTCGCTCGGAAGTCATCGTTCCACATATCGCTTGCGGCTAACTTTGCGGTTGGCCAGAATCCGACGGGTACGTTGGATTTGTCGTCGATGGCGACCTTGGTATTTTTCGGTGGAAAACTGCAAACCTTGATTTAGTTGTGCCGAGAAAATGGAAGGTAAATCACTGACTTAAGGCGTGGATCGAGTACTTTGAAGCCGACAACCATTCCTCGAGGTGCAGATCCAGCTGTCTGAAGTTGTCCAAGTGCTTTCCAAAGCTACATAAACATTCAAACATGAACTAAAGAATCACTGAATAAAGAAATATACCTTTTTGAATTCATCCCGGCTTTCGTCTTTGACTGGAGTAAGAGCACCATGAATGACCTGGCTTGACTTCGGACCTACGAGTTCAAAGATATTAAATTGATCGCGCAGGTCGGCCATTTCAATCTCCACGTCCTCATTTCCAGAGTTCTGAGCCATTTGCAGGCGCGCCTGGACGGAATACTTAATGGTTGACATTACTTCGTCGTAGATGAGCGGATGGCAGCGAATCCATAATGTCCGTACGCGCACTTCCTGCGAAGATGTTTGTCTTTGCTTGTCTTTCTGTGTGGCTGATGCTTGCGATTGAGAAGTTGAAGGGGATGACGAAGCGTTAGGGTCCGCTTTCCAAAGGACCTCGATAGGACCGATGAGGTCGAATGGGTATGACTTAGGTTTATACATGTGCGTGTGGCATATACGCGAGCCGTTGGAGAATCTATCGCATACGATCTCAGCCCGGTATATGTCATAAGTCTTTCACTGTACCTTATTGCGCCAGGTCCAACGGATTGAGGGTCAGAGCAACTTGCGAGTATTTCTTTGAGAGTCGCTTCAGGGCCTTTCAATTCGATGATCGCCTCGTAAGATGCATCGTGCAGGATACATCCATGCAGGGAGGCACGATGAGACGGCCTGAATGATTTCTCTGTTGGTGTTTGTGCCTACCGGAGTCGTTCGTGAATAATTTCTTAAGTATAAAAATTTAGATCCTTACAAGGCGGTATCCCCACATATTCTCCATATGCATCCGTTTCGCGTGCCATATGTGCGTTTCTAGCCACGTCTTATCCTCTGAACCACACTTTTGTTAGACGTTCCTAGTAGTAGAATGAATCTAATTGCGTACTCTGGCGTTTTAGAAATTTCTCGGTTTTAGTAATAGTCTTCTCTTTGCCTCGCTTTGATAGCTTCTTCTTTGACGCCGGCTTTGCAGGAGTATCCATCTTAACAGTCATTAGATCCATGACGTTCTGCAAGTAAGAATCCGTGAATACCTCTGAGCGCGCCTTCTGCCGTAGTCTTGCTGGGACGCGTCGAACATCGTGGCTTGCAGCTCGACGTCTTAGGTGCCGCGGCAATGTCTGCCAGACACGCTGAGTGCCAATTGCTCTATAGTCACAAGGTTAAAGGATTAAGAACTACCCGGATAGTAGCTACTTACGCAACGTTGTCCATAGCATTCTGCATGGCATTAATCTCGAATGCACGCGCCTAATAAAACGGAAAATACGTGAATAGATGCGTCTTCTGCGAGAAGAAATTGGGCACTTACTTCTGCGAATTTCTCCACGTCGATTGTACTCGGTAGTCCTTCCATGCCTATTCAAAAGTAGTGAAGTTAAAGTAGCGTAAATAATAAATTAACATTATCTACTCACTTGAGGGATTGGCATTTGCTGAGCCTGGAAGAGCGAACTGGACAGATATTTGACGTGCTTCATCTAAGCGCATTTTCTTTCTCCGAGTGGCATTTCCATTGTTATTCGCTGAATTTACGCTATTTTCTTCGCCTTTTCGTTTTGTAGACATGGTTGCAGTGAGAGTCACTCGTTAGGTTCCATGCCGCGAGTCGCGTTGTGTCTCCGCTTCACTTCAGTCTCCTGCCATGTCGATGCTGCGTTGCCAATGCTCGTCTCTTGCCCGCAGGCTACCCACAACAACTGCGCGATCATTTTCGTCCTCAGCCGCCATCAGAGCTGACGCAACAACAACAGCAGGAGCAGGAGCACCGGCGGCAAATGTTGGCAGCGTCAAGCCGCCGAAACAGCCGGTTGGTGGTTTCCGCGGCGGGTGCGTGCAACCGTTACTCGTACATGTCCTGTGTGATCTCAATGAATGATTGAATTGTTTCGGATGGCTACAGAATTGTCGGCTTCCTGCTTGGCTTCTCGATAGCGTCGTCATTTGCCGCTTATCACTTGCTGGAGGAATACAAACAGGCGTCCGCTGCGTTACAGGCGAGCGTCTTGGAGCTGCAGGCCAGCACCGAAAAGGTGCGTTCTCCCACCACATATCATTGGCTGAATTATTTATCTGATATAATGTACGATCACAATACTAGGTGACGGCTCATATCAGAAGAATAGAGGCCGTTGAGAAGGATCTCAAGGCTCTGTCGAATACCACAGCGACCAAGGATGACTTGTCGCGAGTACGAGCAGAAATGAAGAAAATCTATGACGGTCTTGACATAGGTGCGACTGTCTACGCTGTGCATCAACCAAAACATATGTCTGACTTGTGTTGTCAGAATTCTTGAACCTTCGACAACATGTGTGGGGAATCCGTGAGTTATTGGTTCTTGCTCACTGAGTGAATTCACTGATAATGGTCTCCATAGAGCAAGATTTGCACGCCTTAACGAAGAAGGATAACGCAACCCATCTCGTATAAAGGCTATTTGTGTCATCAATGTTCTTGTCCAATATCAAAAACATATTAGAAACTAATGCCCACGAACTTTTGTCGTGATCTCTGACATGAGAATCCACTGTGTGGGCCACGCGTGCCCGAATACCCCGACATACGGGTTATTCGTTGATGGCGGTTATAACCTTCGACGAAAACTCCGGTCGTCAGAACGTACATGGCCTTGTTCTTGGCTTTCCCAACATGCAGGACATTGGCATACCAACTCGGGCTTTCTTGCACTGTGCTTCGTCCGCGTTTTGATGGCGCAAGTGAGAAGGTGCCAAAATTAAAACAGCCATATTGATGGGTCCGTGAATAGGGGTGAAGGACTCTAACCGTTGAATTTCTCAAAGTCTCAATATGCGTGACGAGTCATTATAGGACTACAGTACGCAATGGTGGTGGAACCTTTGTACTAACTTAATATTTTTCAGCAAGTTTCTACTACGTGATGCCGTCGGAACCGTAGCTGGCGGAACGTCCTTCGCGACCAGAGATCCCGCTGGATCTCCGAAAATGAACATCTCCATCACGACGAGCCGCCTTCACGGTCGCCGATTCGGCACGCGCGGTGGCCACAGGCGGGATGTTCTTACCACGCGGAACTTCTCCTGTGAGATTTACGTGCGACCAGAAGACTCACGTTTCTAACTGCTAGAGATACCTAATACGGCCGAGCGTTTCTAAGCGCCCAGAGTCGCACTGACTGCAGGTATAAAATCTACGTGTGGGGAAGAGTAGAACCCATCCTTCGTTCTCCCCTTCGTCGCAGGACTGGTTCCTCCTTGTGTTTCTTGCCTGGGCTTTACTTGTAAGTTCTCTTCCATCACTGTTTTTGAACATGCTTGTATGTTTAGGTTTGATACTTACGACATTGTTTCTTCTGACTTAGTCTGCATTCGCTGTTCCTCAACCCCTTTCGTTTGACACGTCTTTCTTTCGTTCTTTAAATTTACGACTGTCGCCATGTTCTTCAACGGCATCGCTGGTCTCGTCGCACTCGCATGCGTAGTGTCGGCTCGCCCCCTGCCCATGCTCGCCAAGCGCGAGGTTCCTCAAGGTACATAGTCTTTGGAAACGACTTGCCTGGTATATAGACTAACTCCCACTATAGAGCACAGTCATGAGAAGTTCTTGACGTCAGTGGGCAATAGCCTGAACTTGAACAACCCAGACGAGATTGTCGACCCAGTCTTTGCGCTGCTCGGCAATGATGCTGCACAGCAAGGCTTGGGCAAGATCCAGGTACAGCGGCGTCTCTACTTCATCAATAGTTTTCAAGACGCTAATTTGGAACACAGGACCCAGACTGCTTGCAACAGGCGGTCGCTGACCAGGCCTTCACGAACGCGAAGGCTGCGGGAGACTTGCAGGGCCAGGTCGATGCTCTGATCTTCCGTGCCCTCGAGCGCAACTCCGGATCCGTTGGCGCGACTACCAATGCCTGCACATCCATCCAGGCTGTTAACCCCGAGATCGCCGCCATCCAACAGGTATGTAATACTTAACCCACCTTAGTCTTGACGCGGATTTTCAATTTGCTAACACGCTCATTTACTTAGCACCAAGACCCAGCGTCTGACAACGCTGCCGAGGTGAACAAGAATATCGTCTTGGCGCTCGCTCAGCAGATCGCTTCTATCGGCGGCAACCCTCTTGATGCGCTTCAATCTGGTACTTTTGCGCCAGGCCAGATTGGCGACCCGACTGCGAAGGGCAACACCTGCGACGACGCGAACGACTCCACCGGCTGTATCTTCACTCAGAACCTCTTGGTCGAGGACGCCTCTGAGGATGAGATTAACCAGGTTTGTTGTTTTCCTAACTCGTTTGAAGCTTTTGTTGACAGGATACTTATTTTGAATTTGATTATTTAGGCTGTTTCCAGCATCGTTTCTTCGAACTCGAGTAGCAACAACTCGAATATCAACAATTCGAGCGTTGACGGCTCGAACGTTGATTTCTCAAACGGTGACAACTCCAACTTTGACAACTCTAACTTCAACGACGTATCGGATGAATCGCTTGACCAGCTGCTGTCCAACGACGGATTGAACCTCGATGGCATTGACTTAAACTCACTGTTGAACTCTGGTCTGGACGAGGAACAGCTGGAAGGGGAGCTCTTGGACTCTGGGTTGGACATGAACTCTCTCGAGAACGATATCTCTGAAATCGACTTTGAGGAGGTAGACGAGGAGTCAGAGTCAGAGATTGTTGAGCTGGAGAACATTGGGATTTGAGTAGCCTTTTTCTCCTCGGACTCACGGACACTTGCGCTTCTACTTTTTCTGTTCTTTTCTGTTTCTGTTTCTGTTTTGATGAGGGACTGCAAATGTAGTTTGTATAGCTTAGGATAATGCGAGACACGCTGATTGGGTGATCGTGATTTGAGCCGGACAGCCTGTTTCATGAGACACCGCTACAGACCAGGCCAAGCCCTGAAGTGGATAAGAGTGGTGCACGTGACATTGACAATGCATTGATTAATATTCCCACGGTTATTGGGGGCGGAATATTATGACGGGATCGGCAGAAGCACGTTCCTCCACACCTGCTTGGCTGCTGCCTCCACTGTCTCTGCCTTGCCGTTCTGCTCTGCTTGTCATCGTCTCGGACAGCGAGCACGACATATCTCACGACGCCAACGACCCAGTGACGACCACACGGCAATCACGAGCTCAGGGACCCCGCTGGTCAGACCCGCTGGTGCTCCACTGACTTATCATATTTGCGGACTTCGGCCAAGAACTCCCTCCTTTCTGGGCGTTGCCTGTCCAATCATTCCTTATCCTGGCCTCAACCCATCTTTTCTCTCGTTTGCATCTTGCTCACGACCGTCATGACGTTCCGCCCGGTATGTGTTAATGTGTGTCTATGCTCTTTGTCTTGCGTGTGCTGAATGCTCGGAGTTAGTTCGATGTCTCGATTCCACATATCTTCTACGCCATTTCTGGCGGGTTTGTCGTTCTGGTGCGAGTTTTCATTCCTATCTTTTTTTTTCCCTTGTTCTTTCTCTTCATCCACTCATCCACACAACTGATAATTTGAAATAAAAAGTTTGGCATGTTCTCGCTTCTCATCCGGGAGAAGGTAAGCAGTCTAGGTCCGTCCGGCATCTTGCTTCTTATTGACCGTGGTATGCTCTTTCAAGCTGTACATTGGAGAAGCACCGCTAGCTTTTCTGTTTGGTATCATCATTGGCCCGTATTGTGCCAACCTTATCGACCCGAGATCCTGGGGAGGCGGCTCCCACGATACCGTTAATACCATTACTTTGGAATTTACCCGTGTCGTTCTCGCCATCGGCGTCTTTGCGATCGGTGTTGAATTACCGAAGGCATACATGGCTCGGCATTGGAAGAGCATATTTTACCTATTAATACCCGTCATGACTTTTGGATGGCTAGTTTGTGCCGGTCTTATCTTCGCTCTTATACCCGGCTTAAGTTTCCTATCGTCCCTTGCCGTATCTGCATGCCTCACTCCTACGGATCCTATTCTTGCAGCCGCTGTTGTCGGAGGAAAGTATGCTGATAAGCACGTCCCGGCCCACCTTCGACATCTTCTAACCGCTGAGAGCGGGTGTAATGATGGTGCTGCGTTCCCGTTTCTGTATCTTGCACTCTATCTCGTTTTGGATAGTACCGACAAAGCTGCTATCCGAGACTGGTTCCTCATTACTTGGCTCTGTGAGTCAAAATACCTTCAATTATTTTATATACGATCTAACAGTATGCTGTGTACACAGATGAAGTAGTTCTGGGAACGGTCTTCGGAGCCATCATCGGCATTGCATTTCGGCACTTGATGAAGTTTTGTGAACGGAAGGACCTCATCGATAGGCAGTCTTACGTCGCTCAGTATGTCTCGCTTGCGATATTTGTTATTGGTGTCACTACGATGCTAGGAAGCGATGACCTTTTGGCAGCGTTCTCTTGCGGGACCGCTTTTGCGTGGGACGGATTCTTCAACCGTCAGACGGAGCAGTCCGTGTTCTCATCTGTCATTGACTTGCTCTTCAACATTGCCGCATTCATCTTTATTGGTGCATGGATGCCGTTTAAAGACTTTGCCAATCCGGACTTGACATTGTCCGTATGGCGATTGATTGTCATTGCCATACTCGTACTTCTCCTACGCCGACTACCCATCGTGATTGCGCTTTACAAATTCATTCCGGATATTAAGACATTTCGTGAAGCAATTTTCAGCGGTCATTTCGGTCCTATGGGTGTTGGCGCCATCTTCATATCGACCCTCGCAGCGGAACATCTTCCAACTCCGCATGAATCCCATGACGTGCAGAATAATCAAGTGGAATTACTTTCGGCTAGTATACAACCTATAGTGGCTTTCATGGTACTATGCTCGATTATCATCCATGGAATGTCCATACCGTTCTTCTCGCTTGGCCGACGCGTCCACTCCGTTTCACGTACATGGTCTCGACATCAAACTGTGGATAGTTTAGGTCCAGAATGGGCAACGCAGACTCGACGGGTGTCACGTCCGGAGGACATCGTCATCAACCGCGACAGCGTACTAGAGCGGGGTGAGCTTGGACACGGTGCAGTTGATGAGAAGGAATCTTTACCAGAGGCCGCTCCCGACTATTCGGAGAAGAAGAGCGAGACACCAAGTTCGCCGAGTAGTACTCTGCCGTCTAAGGCAGGTGCTAGTACGGAGGGTGGAGATCCGGACGCGAAGGTTGAGGGACGTCCCGATGGACCGCCTGACGGCTCCGCTGTTGAAGAACAGTGGAGAGAAGGACCTGACATCGTGGTTGAGCGACAATCGTCTCCAGGAGAAGAAGTTGAAGTACAAGTGAAACGAGGCGCAGTTGCAGCTGAAGAAGGTCAAGAAGAAACGGAGGTCCTGCGTACGTTCCGCGGCTCGCCAGGAGAAGTAGAGCATACAGCCAGACATTTCAAGGATAAGTTGAAAGAGAAAATGCACCATGAAGAGAAGGAAGTCGAGGAAGCGGTTAGAGAGATTGGCGAGGAGGTCGAGAAAAGGGTGAAGATTGTAGAAGATGGTTTGAACGGTTCATCTGGGTCATCGAGTTTGTCGAAGAATAATGAACGTCGCCCGGCGGAAGCACCGGGAAATGATGATGACGATGAGGGCTGGGCTTCGGATCGGAGTGGTCAGAGGAATGGACCGAGTAGTTTCAGAGGCGTACATTCGTCAACTGACGATCTTGCACGCAAGCGCTCGAAATCACCCAAGCACAAATCCGGAATCAAAGCTTTAAGTCACGGTGTACGAAGGCATCGTACCTCCATCCGTCGGAGTCTCCTAGGCAAAGTGCGACCTCTCACTTCCACTATATCCAAGATATCCGAACCCGGTACTGAAGAAGAGAATGACGAAGTCGAGGAAGAGAGAGAGGAGGGAAAGGGTACAAGAGGACGACATTTGGCTATTGGGTTACCTGAGAGACTTAGCCATCGGAGAGTTGATTCGCTTCGTGCGTCGCCTACTCCGCGGTCAGCGTCTCCTGCGCGCTCGGTGAGGTCTGTACGGTTTGCTTCTGAGAGTGGAGCTGCGACACCTGTTGAGGAACGGGACAGTCCGGTTAGTCCTAGTGCTCGACAGGTTGCGTTCGACTTGCCTCATGAGCCAAGGTCGTGAATGTGAAATATTTAAGTATTTTCAACTGTAAAGAAGTTCTGGGCCGGATAAGATTTTTTTTCTTGGTTAACGTTTCTCTCTGGTCTGCTTTGCATTATATCAATTAGTATTTGCAACTTGCATATGCATTTTTCATATAACTGTAGCAAACAATTTTCTTTCAAGCTTCCGAGTTTTGTAGTTATTCATTCACTGCATAGTATATTTTTAGTGTCAAATCTATAGACGACGCTATATCTATAAAATGTGTAAATTTTCAACGATCGAGATGCGACAAATCAATGAACACCCTAACAGGGACTCTAATCAAATAAAGTACCCAAGAAAACATAAACCCTAGAACTCCCCTCACCCCACTCCCTTCAATCATCTCGAAAAACACAGAAAGCCAAATGTACTTAATATCTCTATCAGGGTCCCTAATCTCAAACGGCAGCCTCACATCTCCAAGGTATTTCGAAGCGGCACGTAACCCGGAAGTGAACCCGTCTTCGTGGAACCCGTATCGGAGGTACGCGCCCGCGTAAGATATCCCGCGAGTGTTTTGGATTTTATGAATGAGAGATTGGGCGGTGAGAGATTTGGAGGAGAGGATTGGGTGGGAGTAGGTATAGGTGCCTTGGATTGTTGATGGATTGGGAGGGAAGGGAGGGTTGAGGGTTACGAGGATGGGACCGTGTGATTGGGGGATGTGTTGCAGAGCGTTCATCCAGTCTGTTGTTTTATTTTATACTGTTAGTAAAGGAGATCGGTATGTGGATAGTATAACTTTACATGTCCTTGAGGTAAGTGGTAGGGTAAATAACTAAACAAGAGGAAGAATGGAGTGACACGTACAGAGATACGCGATCGATGTTGGCTTTGAAGTTCCCCTGCTCATCGATTGCGGAAGAAGATAGGTAGTTCCAGCATGACCATGCGAGGCGACTCTTCGGCATTAACTAGTGCATCATAAGAGTCCTAAATTGGTCATAACAGTTTAGAAAAGAGGAACTTCGATTTACCCGTGTATCCGAATGCAAAACAGCTTCATTCCTGTTCCACCTAAACATACTTAGGATATGCTCTTCTTCGGGAGTGACGTTTCCTGCTTTCAAGATTTCCAAAGCAGTATCCGAATGACAGGTGAATATGACGTGATCGAAGAGCTCAACTTCGCCAGTCGAGGTTTGTAACTCGAGTTTACCCAACGGAAGGGATTTGACGGAGCACACTGGTGACGAGAGGTGTAGGTGACCTTTTTTGAGGTTGCGAGTGATCGCTTCGACGTAGACTTTACTTTAGGTTGGTAATATTTGAGAATGAAAGTAGGTGGAGGTGGTTGCGGGATTATCTGCGTACCTTCCACCAGGGATCGTCAACCAAGAAGGTTTGCCTGTGATTTGGAGTAAGTGGTGGTTGTGCAGGAATTGAATCTAATTCATTCGTTGACTTTCAATTCTTAATCATTATGCACTGCCACTTACTAATGTCCGAGCTGGAAAGTCCAGACTACATTTATCTGGCGATGTGCTCCATACAGCAGCAGTCATCGGCTTGACAATGTTCAGCAAAGGAGTTCACATTGTCGCACACGAAGCGAATACTCACAATAAGATAATTGTCTCGAAATGAACTCGAATATCCATTCATATCCAAATATTTTCCAATAGAAATATCCTTGTCTGGACCTTTCTCCAGGAGAATCTTTCTTGAGCAAGCATTGAACCTCAGAACGTCATATATAAGACTCCACATGTTTGGGTCGAGAAGTCTAGACGGTTGGCAGAAGACAGCGAAGAGGTTGTCTCCCGCCCATTCGAATTGTCCCATGTCGCGTGAGACGCTGAAGGTCATTTCCGTGGGTAGGACAGGGATGTTCTTGAGTTTTAGGAAGCGTAGGAAGTTTGGGTATGTCACTGGGTTTAAAACAATCTGGGTTGCATAGGCTTAAAATCCTTTCTTCGCAAAGGTGCAATCATTTGCTTACGAAACCACTGCAGGACTGAATCAATGTAAGACTACAATGAGTTGACTAAGATACATACGTGTCGACAGGTATGGAGTTTTCCTTTCCAGGAAGGGTATAGTCTACCGTATTAGCATGGCCTCCGGGACGACTGTCCGCTTCATAGACGTGAACGTCATGGGCACTATGTTCATTTAGCAGCTGGATTGAAGAAAGGAAAAGAACTGAATAATTCATTCTAGAAAAGACGAAAAACATGGACTGCACCCAAGCTGCACCGAGGCCAGATACTCCAGAGCCGACGACTGCGACTCTCATGGTGGTGGTTTTTACTGGGTGGGAAATCCGGCTGGATGGGTTCCATAGTGATGATGGGTTCTGCCAAGGTTGGTCAGACGCGTTGCGACGATCGACGTGACGCGCCTCGCGTCTGCCATTGGTGGTGATCCGTCTTTGCTTCCACTCAGTACCAAACTCGTTTGTTTTTGGCACAGATTATGGCTTGAGATATTCAGCAATAGTCCAGCAGATGATAGCTTTGTGCCATTTTCTACTTGGATAGACACAAATACCAAATATCTGAATGGACAGCTCCTCTTGTACTAAGTTTACTTTTACCCTTCTGTAAAGAGTCAGTCTCATATCAGTCTGGGGCAGCTTGTGTTCCTTACTAGTGATTGAATAATCCAATACCTACCAAAAATCCCCCTACTCCAGTATGACAGAAAGAGCTAACTAGTAAGGTGAGCTTGTAGCAGGCACAAACTAATTATCCCTACAACATGTTTCTCAAGGAGAGAGAAGTTCAGGTTCTGACTCAGAAGAACTTGAACATACTATATCTTTAGAATAAGAGCTTAACCTTAACAGATTGTGGCAACAAGGCTGCTCTACTACTTACAATACCTCTGTTCCCATTCAGGTTGTCTGTAAAGGATTTACCCCTACCTATATTGTGATTACAATTCATAAACAAGTGAACTCTGTCTTTCCACAAAGCCCACCAAGTCTGCCTGATGTAGTACACAAGCCAAAGCTCTATTTCAACACAACTCACATGTGTTAGACTAACATCATTGTTTCTGGCATGGATTCTGGCTTAGAGGCATTCAGCCATAATCCAGCAGATGACAGCTTTGTGCCATTCTCACTCAGACAGGTGTAAATACTAAATATCTGAATGAACAACAATCAACTACCATTATAATGACCCTCCATCAGTAGGGTAAAACAAACCTGTCTCAAAACAGTCTGGACCAGCTTGTGTTCCCTATTAGTGATTGAACAATTCAACGCTTACCGGATTCTGCTTCGGTATGATAGAAAGAGCTGACTAGTAAGGTGAGATTGTAGCTGGCACAACCAATTATCCCTGCAGCTTGTTTCTAAATTGTTACACAGGAGGACTACAAGAGAATCTTGATCTTCGGAATGAGTGGAACTGGAAATGTGGCTAGATATTTCATAGAGGCAAGTGGTAACTTAGTAAGTTGTCTGCCCACTGGCAATCGACCGAGGAAAAAGCTACAACCGATATGATTGTGTAATACATAATCTGTTTAGGAAATATGATCGGCATCTGCACTACTGTCCAAATTTTTGGTGGCTCGGCTGTTTCTCGTGCAGGTCTCTCGACTTGCTCGATTACATCGACCATTGGCCCCCCTCCTTGAGCTGGACAAGGTCATAGACCGGCCTCGTACCCGCCTAGAGGTGACTAGGCTACTAACAGATCGCGACATGACCTCCGACCTCAGTTCGTTTTGGGACATTCCTGACCCGACGTCGCTGAATGCACGCAAACAACTTAATGGACTTGTTGAACTGCTGCCTCGCAATTCGCCTCTAACTGCAGCTTTCCAAGATTCTCTATCTCAAAATGCATTGCTGCCGACCTTATCCCGGTTCATGTTGCACCCGTCACTCACGCTTGCGATTTCATGGACGTTTCGTCCTCTCTTGATGGATTTATGTTCTAGGTGGTTGGATACGGACGATGAGGGTGCCAAGAAGCTGGAGGCTCTTGGGTTGTTGATAGAGGTGCACGAGGAACTATTCCCGTGAGTATTTGTTTGATGTGATTGTTGCTACAATGCTAATTCTTGGTGTAGAATTCTCTCGTCTTTCGTTCGCCGTTTCGAGAGGGGCCCACTGTGCTGCTTCATGAAGCAAACCGAAGCAGAAAATTTTGATCGTGTATCACTCCATCGAATTCTACTTGCTTATTACCGTATACTTCGCGCAACACCATCGCTTCCAAGAAATCTCAACTGGGACCTTGCATACCTCTTAAAGTTATGTGCTTCGTCGGACCTGGATCGCGGCTCACGCTGGCTTGCAATCCGTTGTTATTCACTTCAATCAAATATGAGTGAAAGTACTAGAATACGCATGGAACAAGACGCACTTGGAGAAATCTGCGGCGAAGACTGCCCTATTAGCTATGGTGAAACTATTTCTGGAACTGCAAAGGAAGTGGACGGATGGATGCTTCCGGTACTCGAAATGAGCAGAATTCAAGATTATAGGAATAGTATTATCGAGTGTATCGACGACTACTATACTAGCTCCGAGAACTCGGACATAATGGTGAAGAACGAGGATTTGAGGTACGTGGAAAAACGAGTCGCCCGTACGTTTAACGTTGATTTTCTGCCGTAGCCCTCGAATCGCAAATGTTCACGGAATTTTACTTCTCCGAACACCTCCATTAAGGTCTGTTTCCTCATCACTCGTGCCCACTTCGGCTGCTCTCCTCGCGCTTCGCCAGCTCGCTGTTAATGTATCCCTCCGTCGACCCACACTATTGACATCAGCAACATCATCAGGAAAGATGACATTTCTAAACTATCTTGCTTCCCTTCTTTTCCCCTCATCTCCCAATCAAGTCATCACGATACATCTTGCAGACACGTCGCTGGATCCTCGCGCTCTGTTGGGTTCGTACATATCCTCCCCGACGTCTGCAGGCTCGTTTGAATGGAAAGATGGCGTTTTGGTGAAGGCAATGCGTGAAGGACGATGGGTCTTGCTAAAGGATATTGATCGCGCGAGCAACGAAGTCCTTGGCTTAATCACCCCACTAGTGGAATCCATGGACGACATCCGACCAATTGGGTCGAGCGCTGGCCTATCTCTGGGTAACCGCGGAAATGTTGAAGCAGCCGAGTCCTTCGTGCTCTTTGCAACGCGTTCTGTTGAAGTGAATTCTGCCTCCTCCCCTCCACCATTACTGTTTCTAGGTGCTCAGAAGTGGCGAGAAGTGATAGTACCGGAGAATTCGTTGGATGATCTACGACTTATCGTCGATTCCAAATTTCCGAATATTGCGGGTCCTATTGCCGATAACCTCGTTGATATTTGGCTGACATTGAAACGGCTATGCGTGTCGACCTCAACTCGACCCGTCGGAATACGTGATCTGGAGAAATTTTGCTCGCGAGTCTCTAATCTACTTGGCTCCAGTAGAGTGGCCCCAAACACACAACGTAAAGCTGGTGAAATACCCCAACTGTCGGCTTTACTATCCCATCCTTCTTTGCGTGAAGAAATTTACTTGGATGCTCGGGATGTCTTTTTCGCTGCTGGAGCCTCAAGTAAACCAACTCTAGAGCAACGTGATGCTATTGCATCAGCAGTTGGTGAAAAGCTCGGACTGTCGGAAGAGACCTGTGAATGGCTCTTAAAGCGCAGAACACCCACTTTTGAGGTCGAGAAAGACGTTGATGGACGACCCATTGCACTTCGAGCTGGCCGTATATCCCTTGCCGTTGAGCCGATGAATACTTTGACGCAATCAGTCTTGCCACGCCCATTTAGTATGCACAAACAAGCCTTGCGTCTAATCTCGCAGCTTGCAGCCTGCGTATCATCCGTCGAGCCTGTCCTACTTACCGGAGAGACCGGAACAGGGAAGACTAGCGTCATCTCTCATCTCGCTTCCTTACTCAACAAGCCCCTCATTTCTCTCAATTTATCCAATCAGACAGAATCGTCTGATTTGATAGGCGGTTTCCGACCTGTCAGTACACGTGTACCTGCACTAGAGCTTCAGAACCGCTTCACAGAACTCTTCCAAAGGACATTCAGTAGTAAGAAGAATGAACAGCTTCTTGCGAGTCTACGAAAAGCTGTTTCCAGTGGGACGTGGAAAGTCGTGGTCAAGCTTTGGACTGAGACTGCAAAGTCTGCGATTGGAAAACTAAAGGAGACGGAGCCAGATGGTGAAGTGGAGTATGTCTATCATTGTTGTCGGGTTTATCATATATCATCCATACTAACTTCTTTCTACTTTAGGCGTGAGAGCGAGACGTTGGATGTTATGGACTCGTCAGTGCCAAGGAAACGACGAAAGGTTCAAGGAAGGAACTCTTTGGCCGAATGGATATCGTTTGATGAAGATGTGCGTCACTTCGAGGTTCAACATGTCCTCGACCAGGGGAAGTTCTCTTTCCATTACGTTGAGGGACCACTGGTGAAGGCCATCCGAACAGGGTCATGGTAAGACTAGGCTCTGATGTTCACAACCCACGCGTCTCATCGTTTTTTATAGGGTCTTATTGGACGAGATCAATTTGGCCTCTCCAGAAACGCTCGAATGCATTGCCGGACTCCTACAGAGCCCTAATGCTTCGATCACACTCACTGAGCAAGGGTCGCTAGAGCCAGTCCCTCGTCATCCGGGTTTCCGGTTGTTTGCTTGCATGAATCCTGCAACAGACGTCGGAAAGAAGGACCTGCCTCGAAATATCAGGGCGCGATTCACAGAGATCGAGGTTCAACCTCCGGACGATGATCTTGAATCTCTGATATCTGTCATTACTCACTACGTTGGACGCCTCGCCATTACCGACAAGGCCGTTATTGCAAAGGTCGCCGAGTTGTATACAGACGTAAAGCGTCTATCTGCGTCTGGCAAGATTGCCGATGGTTCCAATCATAGGCCTCATTATAGTATGCGGTCGCTTTCGAGAGCACTCACGTTTGCTGCTGACACAGTTCGGAGCTTCGGTTTGCGTCGCGCTTTATGGGAAGGGTTCACTATGACCTTTACTATGGTGCTGGATCAGGATAGTGCCGAGCAAGTATTAGATCTTGCGCGACGAGCATTGCTCTCGAACGTAACCAACAAAGAGCACTTTCTCTCTGTAAGACCTCCGCCTCCGCAAGACGCTCCTGCCGATTCATACATACAGCTAGGCCCTTTCTGGCTTTCTTCGGGTCCGAATGAGCGCGAAGAGGTCGAAGACTACATTTTGACGCCATCGGTACAGAAAAAGCTTGTCGATCTCGCGCGTATAATCATGACGAAGCGGTATCCGGTCTTGATCGAAGGTCCCACTTCTAGCGGCAAGACAAGTGCAATCGAATACCTTGCACGTCGCACTGGCCACAACTTTGTTCGTATTAATAATCATGAGCACACTGATATACAAGAGTACTTGGGTTCCTATGTTTCCGATCCAACGACGGGTAAACTAGTGTTCAGGGACGGCCTCTTGGTTCGCGCGCTTCGTCGCGGCGACTGGATTGTGTTGGACGAACTTAACCTCGCGCCGACCGATGTCTTGGAGGCACTGAACCGGCTCTTGGACGACAACAGAGAACTGGTGATCCCCGAGACACAAGAAGTTGTCAAGCCACATCAGGACTTCATGTTGTTCGCGACTCAGAACCCACCTGGCGTATATGCGGGAAGGAAGGTTCTATCGCGTGCCCTACATAATCGTTTCTTAGAGGTCCACTTCTCCGATGTTCCTCAAACAGAGCTTGAGCATATTTTATGCCAGCGGGCTCGAATAGCTCCTTCATATAGTCAGCGGATCGTGGCTGTCTTCCATGAGCTGCAAAAGCGGCGTCAGGTTAGCAGGATTTTTGAGGGCAAGGAAGGTTTCGCGACCCTCAGAGACCTCTTTCGTTGGGCCAACAGGGACGCTCAAGGATATCAGGAGCTGGCAGATAATGGATACATGCTTCTAGCTGAAAGGACACGTCGACCCGAGGATAAATTGGTTGTAAAGGATGTCATTGAGAAAGTGATGAAAGTCACAATCTCCGAGGATAGCTTGTATAGCATGGAGAAGCTCGGTGCCGCCATCAAGTCACGGGGTGGCATCGTCTGGACGAAACCAATGCAACGACTCTTCATCCTACTGTCGCGTGCACTGAGACATAATGAACCAGTCCTTTTGGTAGGTGAGACCGGGTCAGGAAAGACTTCGGTCTGTCAGGTCTTGGCGGAGTTGGAAAACAAAGTCTTGCGCACTGTCAACTGCCATCAGAATACAGAGGCCGCGGATATCATTGGCGGGCTACGTCCTATTCGTCGAAAACAATCGTCTACGCACGACGCATTACAGGAAGCAATGAAAATCCTCGGCTTAATGGGCGGCCCAGATGAAGACGACAAAGATCTGATTTCGAAGTTAATCGCAGATCGCCTACGCGAGAATGAGAGTCCGCATGAGCGTGAGGTGTTAATTGCGGCTCAACATGCCCTTTCTCCGTCTCGTGGACTCTTAGGTTGGCAGGATGGACCCTTAATAATAAGCATGCGTTGTGGAGATATCTTTTTGTTGGACGAAATCTCGTTGGCTGATGATTCAGTATTGGAACGCTTGAATAGTGTTTTAGAACCTTCTCGCATTCTCATCCTTGCAGAAAAGGGGGGTGATACTTCCGAGGAGTTTGATGTGGTAGCCAACCCAGCCTTCAAGTTTGTCAGTACTATGAACCCTGGCGGTGACTTCGGGAAGAAGGAGTTGTCTCCTGCCCTCAGGAACCGTTTCACGGAGATCTGGGTCCCCTCATTGATGAATCGCAGTGATCTTTCAGAGATCGTAAAGCAGTCTTGGAAACGCAAGGAGCTGCTGCTACTCACGACCCCTCTACTAGACTTTATTGAGTGGCTCATGCTCGAGGTTAAAGATACTTCATTACTAACCCTACGAGATGTACTGGTACGTCTTTTTCTGTTTTACAGAAACATCGACGTTCATTATGGATTCTTAGAGCTGGGTGAACTTTTGCAATACACTATCCGCTTCGGCCGATCTACCACTCGCGGCCCTTTTTGTGAGTTATTATGTCGTCTCTTCTCCTACTTTCAGGTTAAATTTTCGTCTGCGTAGGTTCATGGTGGTGAAATGACAATACTAGATGGTCTAGTCGGTCTAACACAGCTCTCTGCTTGGTCAACGGAATCTGTAACGCATCTGCACTCACGAGCGTGTCGACGTCTCAGGGAGCTCGTGCCCGAGTATGGATCACTCGACGAGGTATCAACTCTTCACTTTTCCGTCCAAGAGGGGGAGTTCCGAATTGGTCCTTTCTCCGTGCCAACTGGTTTACTACCGCCGCAGTCCAATTCTTTCAGTTTCAATGCACCGACATCCCTTAGAAATGCGTTTCGCCTTGTCAGAGCTTGCCAGATAGCGAAACCGATCCTACTTGAAGGGAGTCCCGGTGTCGGAAAGACCAGTCTCGTGACTGCATTGGCGGCGGCAACAGGGCAGAAACTCTGCAGGATAAATCTGTCGGAACAGACAGACCTTGTTGATCTGTTTGGTTCTGATTTACCTGTAGAAGGAGCTGCCTCTGGGCAATTTGGATGGAGTGACGCTGAGTTCCTCCGAGCTCTGAAGAATGGAGATTGGGTCTTACTTGATGAAATGAACTTAGCAACTCAATCAGTCCTCGAAGGTCTCAATGCAGTTTTCGATCATCGAGGAACGATCTATGTTCCCGAATTGGACCGGTCGTTCTCGCGCCACCCGACTTTTCGTGTCTTTGCAGCACAGAACCCTTTGAGTCAGGGAAGTGGGCGGAAAGGTCTACCAAAATCCTTCCTTAATCGTTTCACGAAAGTGTACATCGAGCAGCTAACTCCGGATGACCTACTACTTATATGTCAAAACCTTTTCCCAAACATTGATCTGTCGACCCTCCGACTTATGATCACGTTTAACTGCAAGTTGCATCAAGAAGTCGTGGTAAATCGACGTTTCGGGATTTCTGGAGCACCTTGGGAATTCAACCTCCGTGATATTATGCGATGGGCATCGCTCATGACTCGTTCGGACGGTGTGGTCGACGAGCCTTGGAAACATTTTAATGCTGTTTATGGTACTCGTTTCCGTACTAAAGGTGACAAGGAGGCTGTGCTCGAACTGTTTGCAAGTGTTTTCAACGATCCGGACGTTGTGAGGAAGGTTCACCTGGCATTCCTCTATACTCCAGAATCTGTGGCTTGTGGTACTTCTTTTCTCAGTAAAGGTCCCGTAACTGTTCCAGCCGAAGGCTCCTTTCTCGCACCATCACAGCTTAATGGGGTGGAGTCTGCTCTGGCCGGTATTGCACATAACTGGCTTGTCATCGTATGTGGATCGCATTCGTCTGGTAAAACGAGCTTTGTGCATGCCTTATCTTCAATGTCTGGCAGACCTTTACAGGAGATGGCGTTGGGCAGCTCGAGCGACACTTCTGACCTCATAGGAAGCTTTGAGCAAACGAGCAATGACTTCCACAACGAGCGGTTTCTTGAGAAACTTGTGCGCATTATAAATGCATGTGTCGCTCAAACACGGCTCAAGGACGCTAACTCTCTCGAGTTCCTACTGAGGCTTAAAGAAGATGCTGTCTCTGCACGACGAACTCGTTCCCTGGGGATGCTGCAGGAAACTCTTCGCAGAAGTCTCAAAGATTCGCTCTTCGAACCATTCGGTAAAGACTTATCCAGGACTCTGAAAACTGTCTTGGAAAATTCTTTGTCTGCAAATGAGTCCGCTCCAAGGTTCGAGTGGATAGACGGACCCTTGGTGCGGGCTATGAAGGAAGGCCAATGGTTGCTCTTAGATAACGTGAATTTATGCAGTCCCTCGGTATTGGATCGACTTAATTCTCTCTGTGAGATGAACGGTTCGATAGTTCTGACGGAGAGGGGTATAGATCAGGAAACAATATTTCCCCATCCGGATTTCAGGTTATTTATGACGGTGGATCCGGATCGCGGCGAAATATCGCGTGCTATGCGAAACCGAGGGATAGAGGTCTCCTTGGAGCCATCGACAGGAGAAGACGACAACAAACACTTATCAGTTGCGAGGCGATTGTCTGCGGATTATCCGGCACTACATTCACGTTCAGGTTTTGAGCTCGAACGACGAGCACTACAAGAAGCATGCAGGAGTCGCTACGGTCCTAAAGTTTACTTTGGCTCTGATGACAAAACTGGCGTAGACTCCCTTTCATCCCGTCTGGTCATTGTTAACGCGGTGTATGCTTATTTGGACTCGTCTTATGACACTGCAATTGTCCTGTTTGTTCTCGGCCTTTCGAGCTCTTCCGATTCGGGTAGCTTCTTGCGTCTATTCAAATCTATCGGCACTGAACGTGCTATGCGGACTCTGGAGCTACTTTCTTATGTGCTTGAGAACTCGAGTACACTGAGGGTTGCATTGGTGAATACACCGTCCATGTTCAGTTTCATCACCAAACAACGTCGGGTAAGCCTGTGCTTATTGTATTTTGTGAGTAGCATACTAATGTGATGTTAGCCTCTCGATCCATATTTTTTCTCCCCACATGTGGACTGGATGCCAGAACATGAGCACAATGCATGCAATAGTATTAGCCTAGTGCTTGAGTCTTTCGTGCTTGCTTCGAGTACAAGCATTGAGCTGCGACAAAGGGAGAATGCTAGGGAAGCAAACATGGGACACTTGGCGCACACGCCTGCTTCCAAAGAATACGATACTGTATCTCAATTTGTCGAGTCCGCCCTGGCTCTTCTGCAAAATGCTTTACTCAATAAGCAGATAAGTAGCAGGTCACTGGTGCGTAACTCGCTAGGAACATGATCAAATTGCCTGACTTCACAAAAGGCAGAAATTCTTGCTATATTTAGACTAATTTGCTTTTCTCGACATATTTATCAAGCCGCCTGCAGACCGGTTGCAGATTTTTCAACATTGCATACAGTTTCCACCCGGATTTGTCGAGTTGCTGAAGGCCTAAAGCATGTTGTTGACGGATTGGAAGAGCAGGCAAATGCACTTCGAGATGCATATGCCCTTCGGACGGGTTTAAAGATAAGAGAACTTTGGCATTCGTTGTCCCGACCTTCGGTTCCTTCTCGTGCCATCAATTTGCTCGCCAAGCTGACCCTGGTGCCCCTGGGTATGTGCGATTGATTCCACGTGCGAAGTACATTACTCACCCGTGGTTTCAGCTACACAAAGGCGTGTCATCGACCTTATCTTACTAGCCTCTACAACATGCGAGATCACTAATGAAATGAACGAGACATTTCTTATGGCGGAGGATATTGTAAACAAGGTGCGTAACGGAACAACTAGATAGTTCTAGTCTTCTTGACTGATCTCGACTTAGAGTATAATTACGGAGAATGATGGCAAAGAGATCCCCTTGGCGTCAGTGCAAGCTGGGTCCGAACTTGCATCGATGGCGATTGAAATGATGGACCTTGCTAACTTGAGAGGAAGCCTTGCAAATGTACTGCTATCGTCACTTATCTCTCTCTTGGTCGTCCTAACTGAACTGTGTAGTCGAAATTGCAACATACTACCCGCTTACTTGGGTCGTCTGTCACGCTAGCGCATCACACTTCTCGTATGATCGCGTATCAACAGCTTGTTTGGAAGTTCGATGCTGGTTCTGGTATGTGGCATCCAGCTATATTCCGTCTCTTGACAACTGATATATACGAGTAGTTGTCGGTCGCGATCTTGTTGCGCCATACCTTGAATGGCATAAAGCCGTTTGGCATAGCGACAGTTTGAATCAGGTACGTTCAAATCCAGAAAGTTGTGTCAACATGATAACAGTGGCAATTTAAAAGACCCTGGACGTCTCTGTTGTATACACGCCTATTCTGCTTCGGTCAGCTATTGAGACGAGGCAAGTAATACTTGCGGTGGTTGTCTCCAAAATAGCATATCTCACCTTGGCGCTTGTTTTGATAGCTTTAATATTGGTTCTGGTGGCTTACGAGACATAGAACTAAGTCACAGCCTATTGAACGAACGTATTGCTCATGACGTAATGAATTTGTTGCGGTCTGAGAGGCATGAGAGCCGACACTCATCCCTAACCAGGTTTCTCATACGAAACGTCTGGCTGGTACGTGAACCGATTAAAAAAACAATAGTCTTCTAATGGAGCTTCAGATCCTATGTGCCAGCTTTCCTGGAACCAACGGAGATTTAGTAACAAAGATCGAACGTGCTTCAGGCCATCATAATGAAGTAACCTTTATCACAGATGTTTTGAAGGACCCGTATTTTCAGCCCTTCCTCGCGGTCGGACAGGCAATCGATGGTCTCGTCCATAGCACGTCATGGGCTGATTGCATTCATGCTATGGGAAAATGTTGGATTCTGTTGTCGCAGACTCTTCTCTCCCTTTACGTGCCTAACATACCGATTGATCCTGTCCAAGTCCAGTGTTGCGAGACTTCATTACGAAAAGCTCAGATAGCGTGGATCCAATCACAAATCCAGGTCCACACGTTGTGGGAGCGATGCAGGTCGGGAAATGACAGTAACACAAAAATTCGCATTCTTCAAGGCCGTCTTAAATGTCTAGAAAAGGAGTCGGAACCCGTAGCCGTAGACCTTCGCATTACCCGCCAAGGTGATGCATTATTACTTCACTCATTCTGGAATGAGATGAGAGGTTTTCTCTCGGATATGATATCACCCGAACGCTTGGAACGATTTGTTCTGTCTACCACTGGTACGGAAGAGAACGTTCTATCCCAGGAATCGTTGCTTCAAGACGCCATTAGCAATTTTGTTCAGCGTATGAAAACCGCGTATAGTCCCTTACAGGACCTCATGCCGGCCATAGAATTGGCAATGCTACAGCTCAAATTTGGCCTGAGGACGCTTCGGCACTCTTCTGTCCTTCTTTCATCAAAATGGCTGAATCCACGAATGCAGAACTTAATCTGCTTCCCTTCAGTTCGTGCAATGGATGCGGCATTGGCAACGCCAGTGGATGAACTACTGCAATCCGGTTTCCGGTCGTGCGACGCTCTTATTCTGCAACTCGCCAGTTATCTAAACAGCACGCCAGGGGAGAATGTAGCTGGGTACAAGGATGTTAAGAATATCTGGCATATATTCGATTGCATATGGGTGTTGTGGAATGCCGACCTTACAAAGAAAGCAGAGAAGGCTCGACAAGCAGAATCTTTGTATCGCACCCAGAGCGTGGCTAAAGATAGTCGGGACGACGATGAGGTGTTGAGTCTGTTCCCTGTTTTTGATGAGGATCCGGACCCTGCCATCACGACGTCTGAACCGACTGGTCCGGGTAATTTCCACGAGTTATCGCCAGGCTTTGCGAAGAAACTTTTAGATCTCCACTTGATACACTTCGGCAGTTCGAACTCCATCCCAGAAACGCAGTCTAACTCACTTTGGCGCTCGTTGCGCTTCCAACTGGTTTCGAGCTGGCTTAACGGACCTTTATCTTATTGGCCGTGCAGTATGGACGATGATAGCTTAGCATTTCGTTTGGATCTCCTCCGTGACACAAAGTCTCGTTTCAGCCAGTTCGACGGTGAGAATGCGTACAGCTTCTATCGCGATCCAAACCTACAAGAGGCACGAAAAGCAGCAAGCGTTGTAAATGGCTTGAGAGACAAGCTGAACCAGCTCATCCAGTCATGGCCAGAGCAACTCGTCCTACGTCATTTGCGGGATCGTTGTGATTCTATTTTATCAATGAACATGTGCAGTTCAGTCGCAAAGATGCTGGGGGCAATTGAACGTCTATTGCTCCACACGGAAGACTGGGAGATGTACGCAAATCGGGATAATTCGTTAACTATGCACAGGCATGCCCTGACCGAGTTGATAGTAGAATGGAGGAAGCTCGAACTAGCAGGTTGGAAGTCAATACTGGATACGGAGGCTGAAACATTTTGCGACGAGCTTGGTGATTGGTGGTTCCGGTTGTACGATGCAGCTGTTCGAGGTGCAACTGCAGCTTCTCGGGAGTCGGCATCTACTGAGTCTCTCAACCAGTACTTCGATTCTCTGACGCCTTTGGTGGAGGACTTCATCACATCCTCTCCTCTCGGTCAATTTAAACGCAGACTCGATATGGTTTGGTCATTTGCATTGATGACGTCAAAGCTAACGATCGTTGAAGAAGTGGTGATGAAACGTGCCTCGCAGATTCTACTCTCCATCCATCGTTTTTATGCACAATACGCCGACAGAGTAACTGCGTTCTTTGTGCAGGAAAGAAAGATCATAGAAGACGACATCCTCAGCCTGGTCAAGCTGGCGAGCTGGCGGGATATCAATGTACACGCTCTGCAGCAGAGCGCTCAGAGGACGCATAAGCAGCTTTTCAAGAGGATACGAGCATTCAGAGAGGTACTGCGCCGGCCAATTGCTAGCCAGCTTCACATCGATGACATCCGTTCGGCTGATGGAGACGCCGTGCACGGCACTTCTAATGATGTTCTTCCTCAAAACATTGCCGAGCTCGACAACTACAATGCATCAGCAAGAGCTAGAAAATTCGCGTTAATATTGACAAATGGCCTAGAATCGGTTTCGGCAGCACCATCGGCAGTGGCACTCGAAGACTTATCCGGTACCATCATTTATATACAAGAGGAACACTCCAAATCAGTTCCCCCAATGAAAGCGCTTTCCTCTGAAGAGTTGAAGAGATGGAACTCAGCTCTGTTGGTCCGCAAGAAGAGGTCGTGGAATGACTTCCTGAAGGAACTGAAGCGAATCGGTCTGTCGCCGAACGTGAAACCGGAAGTACTGCAAAGGCATCGTAGCAGGAGATACCTTATGGAACAGCCGCAGTCGACCTCCGAGAATGTCTCGTATATGCCTAAACTAAGAAAAATTGATGGGTACTTTTATCGCTCGATTGTCATTTTGAGCGACTTGGTCCAGCGCGATACAAACCACCATCAGGACATCTCTACGCGCGAATTGCGACGAGGTGTGTCTTCGTTTGAGTCGGCCTTCTCATACGCTACCTCTGCAAGAGCAAAGTGAGTTACTTCCTTATGGTTATCTACTTAAATATTGAAGGGAAAATCCAGGGTCATGGAACTCATAATAGCATGGAGCTCTGTCAGGGCATGCAGCCGAAGGTTACGTCAGCTACGGCAGGCCATCGGTACTTGCATAACGGCGTCTGATATTAATTTATTACTGCGAGAGTTGAAAGTCCAGATGATGAAATCTGTTTCTGCTCTCAGGGAGCTGCAGGAGCTTGCGAATAACATTTCGGAGACGTTAGAACACGAGTCACCTCTGGATCTGGAGTGCTTCAGTGGCGTTCGCCACTGGGTCTCGGGCGGCACAGACATTATCAAGCGGCTTTCTGACTTGACTCGGGCGTCGGAAAACAGTTGTTTCGTAACCGAAGGTCAGCGTTTAATTTTTTAAAGCTTAAATGGATAATTCTCACTTTTGTGCCTGCAGATGACCGTGAATATATACAATCGTCCATCAGGCATCTTGAATCCATAGAACCCCTGCTGGTTGATCTGGAGAATCGTGAACCTCGCTTAAAGAAATTCTGTGAATCAATCCGCAGCTGGTCTCGTCAGCACCCTCTCGACACGAGGTCGCTGAGTGAAGTTCCGACGACCACGGATTCGCCAGTTGACTCAAGTATTATTACCGATATGCTTCTCGTCATCGGTCAAGACCTGTGCGAAGCCAGTGCCGCAGCGAAGGACACGGACTCTGATGACTCGGATCACATTCGTCGGCGTTATGCGCAGTTCAACCGAGTGTCGCGCGTCCTAAGAATAGACGGAGTTTATCTTCGGTTACGCGAATTTTGTCAAAGCTTGCAAGGTAGATCGCGTCCCGTGATTTCAGAATCACTTGATCAAGTATTCCCCTTCCTTGACGCCTATGTGACTTTTGTCGAGCGATATCTTCACGAGTATTCGGTGTGGACAAAATCCCTTCTAAAGCTAACGTATATTTCGGGTCGTCTACTTCAGAACATTGCGCAGAACGGTTTCTGCAAGCCTCAAGAGACAGAGGAAACAGGTGAAGTGGGCGGCGCAATTGAGTCCGCAGAAGGAACGGGTTTGGGTCAAGGTGAAGGAAAAGAAGATGTCAGCAACCAGATCGAAGACGAAAGTCAGTTTGAAGGAATTCAAGGCCAGGAAGACGATACGAGTGGTAAACCGAAAGAAGATGGCAGCAGCGAGGCTCTGGATGTCGATTTTGACATAGGCGGTGACCTTGAGAATTTGTCGGAGCAGGATGCGGAAGACGAAGATGGTGGAGTGTCCGACCTAGACGACAAATTTGGACAAGACACTTCTCAGGACCTTAATTCTGTAGATGACGACTTCTGGGACAACGACGACTTTGATAGTAAAGCACAGGACACCCAAGAGACAGAGGCTGGTAACTCAAAGCATGGAGAATCAGAGTTGGCTGCAAAGGAACAGGAACCCGAAGCAAAACAGCAACCTGCCAGTGAACGACAAGATCAGCAGGACATTGCATCAGACCAGGACGAAAATACCGCTGAAGACCCGGCAGCAGACAGCATTGATCAAAGCGAGCCTGAAGGAAAGGCGGATGACACGACGATAGAAGATGCAGCGAAACCGTCCAATCAAGACGATAGCGTGACTCAGACGACAGAATCAGAGATGGTCGATGACATGCAAGATTTGAATTTCGAGGAGGACCTTGCAGACGTGGACAAGCATAGTCAACAGAGTGGTGCGGAGTCTCTAGTCGACAATGAGGAAGCACCGAGTCCAGCTGGTGAGGATGCGGAAATGATGGACGATGAAGGGAATGAGGAAAACGGAAAGCCTGTTTCTACTGCAGATGTGCATGCTGGTAACGACATTGATGACTCTGGGAATATGAAAATGGATTCCACGCCCGGTGCTGGCGACGATCAACATCAAGCAGCAAAGGAAACCCTGGCTGACTTGCCCTCGTCTAGTGATCGCAATGAAGAACAGTCGAATATCGCTGGAGATTCGTAAGTGGCTTCAAACCTGAATTGTTCTGGTAGCTGTAGTTTATTGATTTTTGCAGAGCCAAGGCGACCGATCACACTGACACTCTTCCAGCGGGTCAACCTGATTCAGCAGTAGATTCGCACAGTTCCCAAATCGGCAAGAAACCATCGTTATCGCAGGATGCTCCTATTCCGAATCCACATCGAAGCCTCGGTGATGCCCTCCGTGAAGTGAAAAGGCGTTTTGACGAGATCAAGAATGCATTAGACGCTGCCGAAGGGCGCTTGGATGCGCAAGAGATTAACGCCGCTAATAGCGCAACACTCGAATATGTTCCTGAAGATTCGATAGATACCGACATGCAGGCACTAGGTCCGGCATTGGGTGAAGAAAGCGCTAATCTCAATGAACTCAAGTTCGTCGAAGAGGACGGGGAAATGCACGCAGACGACTTGGTTGATCCCCCACCACCCCCTCGTGCCGATACCCAAAGTAATCTTGAGAAGTCTCATCGTGACCAAGCTGAAGGTACTGGACATGAAGAAGAGAAAAGGGCCCATGAATCAACCAAGGACACAGACTCGAACGCGATGGATGTCGATGCCACCGCGCTTGAGCAAGGCAGAGTCCTTGAGCTAGATACGGACGAACAGGAGTTGAGCGCAAGCAGAAAGGTCGAAGTTGAACTGAATAAATGGCTCCGAGATGGTCAACCCGTGGAGGACGGCCAGCACATGTGGCAACTATACGACTCTTTGACGCAAAGTCTCTCATTCTCCTTATGCGAGCAACTACGCTTAATCCTCGAACCGACTCGAGCAACGCGCCTCATGGGAGACTTCCGTACAGGAAAGCGCCTCAACATGAAGAAAATTATCCCGTACATCGCGAGCAATTATACAAAGGACAAAATCTGGCTTCGTCGCGTCCGACCCAGTCAACGAGAGTACCAAGTTCTCATCGCACTTGATGATTCGCGATCAATGGCGGAGTCGCATTCCATTCACCTAGCTTTCCAGACGCTCGCATTGGTTACGAAGGCGCTCAACAGGCTTGAGGTAGGAGATGTCGCGATTGCCAGTTTCGGAGAAAGGACGCAGATATTGCACGGCTTTGAAGATGGCCCCTTCTCAGACCAGGCGGGGACCAAGGTGGTCGAAGCGTTCAAGTTCGCACAATCTGCTACGGATGTCCGTTCTTTGCTTGAATCAAGCGTGGAGACGCTAACGAGGGCGCGTGAGCGTCGTGTATCCTCGTCATCATCGGATCTTTGGCAACTTGAAATCATCATATCTGACGGAATCTGTCAAGATCACGAGGATCTGCGGGCAATTATTCGCAAGGCGGAGGAAGAGCATATTTTGATTGTTTTCATCGTCTTAGATGCCCACCATGATGCACCATCGGGTGATCCTAAGAATGACGTTAGTCGCTCACAGAACTCGATCATCAATATGAACCAGGCGATGTACAGAACAGTCAATGGGCGCTTGGAGCTACACATGCAGCGGTACCTTGATTCATTCCCCTTTGAGTTCTTCGTGATCTTGAAGAACGTGGAAGCTCTTCCGGACGTGTTGGCGGATACACTGAGGCAATTCTTCGAGAGAATATCCGCTTCTTGACTTCGATAAGTTGTACTTCTGTAGATACATATACATCTGCTTTTTTGTAATACAGTAAAGTGAAATAAACAAGCCATTATATAATCACTTCAATCACTCATCGACTTTTGTATTTCATCTTGCCAATTTCTTGAGAAATCATCAATAGTCTGACCTGAGCTCATGCTCAACATCTCAAACGGCACCATATTGTGCAAATGGGTAGGTGCGCTGCGGCTGGCGACTTCGTGTGATGCCGAGTCAACGACTTTTAAGACCGGTTCGCTCGGCGTTTTTTCGTGCAATCTCGACAGCTCATCGTAGGTAAATAACAGGGGATCAGTTCGTGGAGCATAAGGACTGAAGTCGACGATGTGACCCGATCGGAGATCGCGTGTGAGGATGATGTCGAAGGTATCTGTGGGAATGCTTCAGACATGCAGTACATACACCCTAAAAAGTACGCGGAGGCATACAGTCGTCTGTCGGCCAATTCTTCTCAATTTCACGACTCCAGAAATTTGATATAGTGTTGCGAATCTTTTCCCGCGTTTCTTGCTCGTTCATATAATTATAGAAATTTGGATCGCGTTGTGTAATTCCTGCAATAAAAGGTACGGTTGTGATAGTGGCGCATTACGGGAAATCAGGGGTGCGAACCTAAGAGCTTCTTCGAGCGCACGAAACATCGGAACTCTCGACTCGGATCTACGTGATACCACTTGCGAAGAATGAGCTCTAGCCCATACTTCGGCACTTCTGCATTCTCGTCGGAAACGCATCCATCGAATACGGTCTCCTCCTCGACGTCATGTGAAACAAAATCAGATGATTTGAGCAGCATGTATACTTCCGATGGAGCAGTGCATTTCAGTGGCGAAGAGGACGGAAGAATCCACGATGCGTCCTAATCACTGTAAGAATCAAATGTTGGATGGGCCTGGGAACAAAGTATACACGGACCTTGGGAGAAGAGAAATTCAATTTTGGAAACACAGCGCCGTAATCTTCGATCGCCTTCTGGATTTTAGCATCAAGCTCCGGAAATGCAAAACGTTCTCGCGGTTCATCTTCATAATCTTCATCATCACTAGTAACGGCTTCATTCTGTTCACCAGGGCTTGAAATGTGCACGATGTCAGTACACATAGAGCCTGAGAAAGAATAGGTTTGAACACACACGTTGTCACAGCCTTCCGGTATATGCACGCCATCGGAGAGCAAATATCTCCTGAAAACTTCTCCAAGAGGCCGGACGATAGTAGATTTCATACTGACATGCTTGAAGCGAGGATACCACGATGAAAATTGGAAAGAGATGATGTCTGCATGAGAAAGCGGCGGAAATACGTTCGACATGACGGACAGGTACAAATGCGCGAGCTGGGTAATAATTTGAATAAAGACAAAGTTTGACTCGATGGCGATCGACAGTGGGTCCTTATTTGGATGGTCCTCGTTTCGTCTTTCGCCCTTCCTCTTTCCGTTGTTCCTGATTCACTCAGCAGTTATAGCTCAATCTTTTTCAGACTTCAAGGACCCGTTTGGCCAATTAAATTATTCTAACAACAGAGGTCGTTCATTAAAGAGCCATTAATATTGAGAAAGCACCAGACCTAACAAGGCGACAATCAACTTGCACATCAGAATCACCACCAGTCTCCACCAGAGTTCCATCTGGAATGATCCACTATTTCTGGGTCCTAATATACTGGCTCTATCACGGCACTGTCAGAGAACGTCATGGCCCGGTGTACCAACCTCCACATCTGCCTGCTTGTCTGTATGTCACTTCGACACAGATGGCAAGGTATGGATAGCACACTTGAGCACCATCCATTTTTAGGGCTAGTTCATTTGAAATGTGAGTTGTTACACACTTCTTAGTGGATTCTGAATTCTATGACTACTGTCCTACTGTCTAGAAGAACCAACACCTTTTGTAGTGTCTGATAAGCATACATTCTAGTACATTAATCTTGTGTTCAGTTCATCCTGTATTGCCAGTTCTGCTTACCAAAAATGGCCCACTAGAAACTCTCAATTGTTAAGCAGTCCAGTCAAGAGACAGTCTGTTCTACATAAATCTGATACAAGTTTCTGCTATTATGAGCTACTAGATGGTTTAATTAGTCTTTTCCTCTTATACTCAAGTTTGACAATTGATTTGTATGTCAGAATCACTACAAGCCTCTACATACTAGAGTTTCCTCTAGCTTTACTCTACTCAGACATAGTTCACTATCTTTCACAAACTTGAAGGTTCTCAAATTTTACTTTCATTACACACAAGTACTTTCTATCTGAACACTTGCAAGCATGTTTAACTCCTTAGTCTGTGTTTCAGACAAGTCACTCAATACTATTCTGCTAACATCCTAAGCACAGTATGTGGAGAAAAGCCCTAGTTACAATTTCACAAGAGTGTACTGTGTTCCTCAGCTTCAATTTATGTATACAGTAGAGAGCTATAACATGCTGCCAGAACAGTGCTAAATTCCCTTCACCTTTCTCTATAGGCCAAAAATGATGTTGACCTGTTATGTAGAAAGTATACTAAGCTAAGGCAAGCCTGAGTTCTGTACAACATGACTAGCTTCAAGTATTTCCTTTTCACAATTAGATGTTTGACAACACTGTCTGAATACAAAGTATGCTGAAAATGAATAGCTAATGTGAAGACATTGCCAGTCGACCTTATTATAAAAGAGACATTTTGCTGAGTGCAAAATATTCCACATATTACGGGTATATTAATATTCTCTTCGTTATGTCTCTAAAAAATCCCAAGCAGGTCTCAATTAAACTGCACATCCATGGATCCCCAACCAACGCAATCACACAAGAAAATTTCTCAGCCTTCAAGAATGCCCATATCTTTCCACCTTTCCCAAAGATCGCCGATTCCCACTAAGCCTTGAGCAGAACTGCCCTTCACATCCTTCACTTCAAGTAGTTCATACTCCTTCCCGAATGCAAGGAAGTGTGCGAACAGAGAATTGAAGTGCGGTTCAGAGCGGAGATGGAGGATCTGAGTATAGTGTGCGTGGTAAATATGCGCGAAGACACGGAGAAGTTGGCGGTAGATGTGTTTTGCAGTCGAAGGGAAATTTTGAGGGAAGTCGTGCCCTAACGGAGTTCGTATCGTTATCTAGACATCCGAACAGTGGGTCGGGAATAATTACGTACCAGCTTTCGTTGGGAAGACCAATTCGTCATCGAGCATGTTTTGCACCCAGGTCATGACATAATCAATGTATGTCGGAGCCGCGAGCTTGACTTGTTTACGATTCTGATCAATCCAAGTATAATCCAACCTGCGAAACAGTTCATCAGCAAGAAGTTCCGTTCTGTCGCGGAGATAAAACTTACATCGGGCCTGCCGACATTGTAGGACAAGTTTGCGACGTGCAGCATTCCGCTATTACGCCATAGAATGAATTCAAATTATTATAAAAATCGAAGACTGCCACAAATCGCAAGATTAACGTAATAGTCAATAAATGAGTAACGATAAGACGCACTGTTCACAGCAACCCATTCCATGACATCAACATACTTAGGAAGCATTACGATCGTCTTGAAGTTTCCTTTTACGAGCGCTGCCTCCACGAATGGACTGCACAGGTAGAGCGGCTTTTGTATTACAGTGCCCGGAGATGGAGGTGCCGGAGCAGGATTCACTCCGTCTGGTGGGAACGTTGCAGACGTCGGAGTCGGCGACCGCTTTGGCGCGCGCGGAGCACGGTTTTCCTTCCGCCTGTTAAGAGCAATCAAAATGATCAGCCAATTGTACACGATGCAATTCGAAAACGGCACGAACCCGAATGTATTGAAAAATGACATTGTTTCTCCGAATCCGAGATATTCTCTTAACTTTCCACTGAGTTTGTAGATGAAAGCAATAGAAAGAAATGCGGGAACGTCGAGGAGGAAACGAGAGCGCGTATCCGACGCGACTAGCTAGGGTCGTTAATACGTAACAACTCACGGGACTTTAATATTATGTAATAAATTCTGCGTTAATTTTATTATTTTATATTTTAGCGCTGCATCAGCGGCAGTGCTGGTGGCAGTTATCTTCCCACCAGTACTTTGCCCTTGCTCATTTCTCAAATCTCGTCCACAAAATCGTGCTAACTTTCCCACCAAAAGGCCGAATCACCGCATTTAACTTGCCTCGCGTGAGCGGAACACCCTGACTGATATTCCACTGCGTTCATCCAAAAGTGCTATGTCCGAATGTCCATTAAATGCTATGTGCAGAATCTGCAGATTAACAGCTATAAAGATAATAACAAGAGTCCATTTACTAGCTATATATTACTGTCCTGTTCTCGAAACTGCGGCCTGCTCTCATGCTCTGCTCTCTAAAGCCTCTATCAGAGGTACAACGACGTTCTCTCTCTTCAGTGAAACGTTGTGTTTCTGTACCTTGGGTAAAAGCTGCACTCGCCGAGTCTGAAGGACCTCAGGACTCCTGCTTCCAAAGTATCGACCGCTTTCGTAGTGCCAACACGCATTGGCTCGTGCCCAGTTTCCAAGCCCGTTCAAGTACCTTTGAACGTGTGTGTCAATCTCTGGGCCCCAGGAGGGAACACGTTGTACACCGTTCAGGAATCTTTTCTGGACCTCTGCGTGGTAGTTGGCAACCCATGCGATGGCTTCATCCAGACCGAGGTTGAGTTCTCGCATGACGACTGTCACAATGTTATAACTATCATCGCCAGTCGCTTGCTCTTTGTTGTACGATGCAAGGTCCTAACGGAAGTTTCAGCATCGTAAGTCATGATTATCCATCCAGGAAGGACATACGTTATCGATCAAGATAAGCTCCGTGATGTTCTCGGATAATTCAACAATGATTGGATGATAAATCACTTCATCGGGAAGGTGAAGGTTAAACTCGATGACGGCGTACGACGGCCGAGTACCAATGTTCTCATGACGATTCCTCAGGTATGATTCAATTGAATGTTGTTTATCGTTATCCCGGTCTGCAGCTTGCTGAACGACGGACTCCAAATAACCTGTGAAGCTCTCGATGAAATGCCGCTGCGAAGTAGAGCTGGCGATTTTAATTGTTGATGCCCAATATCTATTTGGAATTTTTCAGCTCCCTGAAGAACATCAGAAGACATGTCCTATCGCTTACTGTCGCGTAATCTCTCCTAGAATGACTTCTCCCTTTGGCCGAGGCTTATGGGGATTCTTGAGCGCGTCGATCACAATGTCTACCATGTTTCGAACGACTGGCTCTGGTTCCACGTCCGTGTACTCGTCAATGACAAAGAACACGTTCATCAGATCGCAAGCAGATCGGAGGTGTTCTGTTCAGGTCTCATTAGCAGACGACACGTTGGCAAGTTTCGGACTGCATACCCTTCGAGACGTCAGAATAGGCGAGAGCGGCAAGACGAGCTAATATCATGAGCAGGTTTGTAATGTGTCTCATTGTATAACGTCTGTGTAGTTACTCACTGAAGTCTCCCTTGTCGAAGGCATATTGCGACTGGGCAGAAAATGCCTTGAATCTATGAAACCATGCGTTGGATTCTGCTTTTGCTTGCTCATAGTATGGGTTTATAGCGCGCTGCCATGGCCAAGTAGCCATGGTGTCTGGAAGGTAGAACGACTTGGTCTGGTTAGACATGCCTGTGGAGTTGTGTTGAGGAGATGGATAGCAATGGAGGTATGCAGCACCGTCGTTTTATACCGTTCCATTCCCCGATACCCTGAATGTTTACTGACTCTTTTTTGAAAGTCAACGCGGTATGACCGGACAAAAATCCAGGGCCTGACACTTGCTTACTGTTCCGCGAGATATTAGGGAAGATACGGTTACTTGACAGGGTAGGGTACGTGCTACACTGTTACGGTGATGTCAGCGATCATTATAGTGGCGTTTGAATAGCCGAATGCTGGACCCTCACCCGACTGCGGGTGTGGACGACGTGCAACGCGGCGTATACAAGCCCGTTTTGACGTATATATTTGATGCTAGCCAGCCGTAAGTACTCTTAGACTCTAATGTTGATCACTAGGCTTGATTCATGCCTGATGCTAGTCACGCGTCGGGAGTCAGGGATAAGACATCCTCTAACTCTCTAGAATAATATGACCGACCTATGAGCATTGTGCCGTAATAATGTTTAAAGCTTATCTCTAGCACTGGCTGCGCTTTTCTCGTCACGCAGCATTTTGCAATTGCGCTTGGACGCCAGTGCTTCTTTCTAACATACATTTCCAGTCAACAGCGGCGATACCTGCGTTACGGAATAGTTTGCATTCCGGCTTTTAGATCTGGTTTGGACCCAGGCTCCACGGAGCCGAGCATACTGACAAGGCGGAGAACTTGGAGGTAAATTCGAGCCTTCCGTTCCATTTCGTCGGGACTGATTTCATTAATCGAAATTTTAACGGAGGCTGTTTTTGCAGTAGCCCAGATAATGTCGTTCACAAGCGTAGTGCATAAAGGATTATAGGCGAAACTTCTCGTATGAGATGCAACCTCCTTCGGTGCGGACCGCAACCGATAGGCTACTATCGACGGATTCGCAACGTCCACTCCTTTTGCATCGGAAATACTGACATATTCCGCTTCAGACCATCACCATAAAATACAAGGGATGAATAACTTGGTGAAACGAGGCCGAGGTACGTATCTAGGACATTTGTTTAGTGCCCCCAACCTGAAACCCGGTTAATACATGGCTGTGCACACAGGTAAGAATTGTAAAGTATTGACAGCGATCAGTCAAGAATGCATAAATAACCAATCCGTTGGACCCACCGGGTATGAGTCATCATACCATTAAGGTTGATCTTGCGACCCAGATTCGGGGGTTACGCAAATAACGATCTATGAGGAAATGAAATAGAATTGGTGGTTGGCTGGTCGATCTCTCCGAGTCTCCCCGACATGTTGCCAGACACTTCAAGCGTCTTGCACCGCATGGGGCTGCCACCTCTCGGGATTAGGAATTTAATATCCGCCCACGGAATTGCTTAGCCCACGAATACGCGAGAAAGAAAAAGTTCAGAAAATCAGTCGTGATCGGGTTTGACTCAGCTCTACGCAGCTTATCAGAATCAGGGTTGCAGCAGTTGAGATTCATCACGCAAACGTGGTGTAATGCACCTGGTTGGAGTAAATTCTTCAAAGCAAAATGCTTCTGAACTCATCCTCAACCCTATTTTGCTTGATACGGACTTCGTGGAGACATGATCACCAGAATGTAGAGCGTATCATGTTTGTTAAGAACGCAACACATATCTGACAGCTTGTGTGAAAGTGAAAAAAATTGCTGAAAATGTTCATAATGGATCAGAAACCACACCTCACGGAGTATGCCGAACTTAAAAGTCTTTTCCTGACGCTCTGCACCGCCAAACACTGGAGCAATTCAGTTGCACAATACAGTCAACCAGGCCAAGGTAGTTCGTCGAAGTGAAACACTTACTCCCCAATTGTTGGGAAACTTAAGTACGGGACATGCGAAACCAGACACGCTGAGTTGACTATAGGCAGAAACCATCAAGCTTCTCAAGAATCCGCTTCGAGAGACGCGCAGGACAAAAAGCCTTTACTCCGCGAGCGATTTGACACTCAAGGAGGCCCCGCGTAGTGCCGGCGCGGTCAAGCCGTAGATTTACTTTAGTCGTCGGCCACAGCAATTGTCCGATTCGTTGGATGGTAGCTCCATCAAAAACTGATAATTTCAATCGGAATCCTTAGAAATGAACGAAACTTTAGGGAAATTTTTAGAACACCACACGGAGAACCTTTGACAAAATAGTGCAAATGTCTGCAAACAAATCAACCCACCTCACGCCCCCAACAAAAAGTAAAATGGAGATGAGCGGTGAGCGAGAGAGAAGAAATGGCGCGTCGCGCATCGTCGGGACACGCAGTCCGCCGCTACCGCAGTTCCTTCAGTATGGCGGGATTGTTTTCTGAGTGCCGCTGATACTTGATGGACCATTAAGACACCGGAACAGCGGATGTAACTTCCGACAGTCGATCCGTTATCCTAAAGAGATAAAGTCGACGTTTCGGAAAGGCTTGTTTTCAAGGGTGGTGCTCTTCTTAACGATTCCGTTAATGCCATAGCTTATTACCGAGCCTTCACGTGAACGCTGCTTCATCCCGACGTCAAGTAGAACACAGAGACGCGCTTTGGAACAGCAACGCCGACAGTCCGGTATCGCCGTTTATTCCCCTGGCGGCGATACCCAGGAGATTAGTTTCTGGCCACCTAGATCTTGTCCGAGATACATTGCTAGACGATAAGTGCCAAGAGCATCAGAAAATCCGTTCATCGTTGAATCAATTGTAAAGGTAGTCTGGCGGCTAACGTGGAAGTCGTACACATAGAATGCTTGCAGGCAGTCTGACCCGATGGGTCTGACGACAGCTGTCCCGTCGTCGAAGTAAGCAGCTTGAAGGTCGGCCGAACTCGATACCTGCGGCGCCATAACTCAAAGTCGGGTGCCTGACCCGAAACATCAGCTAAACCCTGTGGTGGCAAAGACACAGACCACATGGTTTGCAGAACAAGGTTGATAAGAAACTACACCTCTCCGCGATGTACGGTCCTTGATTGTTTCAAGACTGGACCATCTGTAACACGCCGGAGCTTGCAACGAAGAATGAATCCCGCAATAGAAAGCGTCGATTCATTCTTAATCATTGCTTTCCGATGATAGTTCAAGGAACCGTTTATGCAGCCTCTGACAAGCGATGCAAGTGCTTTGAGCGCGTTTACACAGCTGAACGCGGCATTCAAAACAAGCAAGATAATAGCAGGTTGTCGAGTTACTCGTACATAGTAAGCCAAGATCAGATGCTGCTTCCTCCATGATCAGGCATGTGCTCAAGGCTGAGTAAGAAGCCAAATCCAGCTTATCAGCATGATGCATGTACTCCTCTCAACCCTCCATTTCTGATACTATAAGTCGTTAGCGGGGACAACGACGCTTAGTTGCGGAGAAAGACCCTGACTGTGCTAGCAAGAATTTCCGATCACTGGGATGCGCCGACGACTCACTTAGATCTTGAGCATTTATTGAACCATCCATTTGATTGCTGTACTCAAAAAAGTACAAATACAACACTGTAGAACAAACTAGTCGCGTTCATTCTGTGAATGTGAGAAATGTGCCAAGCACGCAATAGGTCTCTCAAATAGTTTGCTTTACTCTAAAACGTCCAAACTCAACACCGTAGAACAAATTAGTCGGGCTCATTCTGCGAATGTGAGAGACGTACCGAGCATGTAACAAGTCTTCTCAAATAAGTTGCCAAATACAAGTTGAAATAGCCGCAGAATGGAATGTACTTTCTATATGGATCTATCGCTTCAGCATCCATCGCCCTCGAAATCCTTCTTTCTTGACCACGAGTCCGTCTTTTGAATTTCGTTCCATCCATTCTTCTATATTTTCATTTCGTCCATCCCCAACGGATTCAAGGCATAATGATCGCAATAACCATGTAGAGGTATCGGTTTCCGTGCCAATTGTAAACTCCCGGTATGCAGAACGTAAGATGGTCCATACAGCAGCACGTAGTTTCCTTCGTAGTCTTTCAACCACAGAACAGAGCGCTGTCTGGACTAGATGTCGCTTTTCTCTAGCTTCTTGCCCAGATAGGTATGCAATATTCTCTATGAGTGAATTGAGCCGTGATTGGCGAGTAAGATGCTCGAATTTCGTAAAGTTTTTGCAATTGATGGAAGCCCTGACGGAAAGGGTCCATTTCAAAGCGTCACTATTAGAACCCTTTTGAAGTAAGAAACGTGCCAATAGCCTTTCCTGACGGTAATACGTCAACTGCGAAGGATATGCCTCACATAAGTGAAATATTAGGGATACAACTGCAAGGGCCTCGGCTCCGTTAGAAATTGACGAAACCTGACTCGCTGAGGCTGACTCGGGTCGCAGGGCACAATAAAGTTCCGGAAGATGTGATAAGGAAGAGGAAGCTTGCACTACGGACTCGAAGATGATTGCCAGATAGAATGACAATTCGTACACTGCAAATGTGTCAGCTTCCATAACCATCGTGCTTCTGTAAACGAACCTTCCAGCGCGAACTCGTCAGTTCTCTGAGAAGCCAGAACACCCTCTCTGAGTTTTCCTATGACGTCCGTTAGATGCGGCGGAAGTGGAAAAACACTTTACATGTACCCACGAAGAAGCAGGAGAATGTTACTTTCCTTCTCTATCTGTAACTGAGTCCTATCAGATCGGGAAGGAAATTCATCCCAATGTGCAGCGAGCTCAACAAGAAAAATAAGAAAACGATATTAGTAACATAACTTTTATCACCAATATGAGCATTCCCTGTACCTTTTCTTGTATCATTGCCCAATATTTTTGTTGAACAGCTTTGTCTTTTAATCTTTGAATGTTTCGTGAGGTGCGCGAATAGCAAGAAGGATTCCGGAGTTGGCGTACGTATCACCTTGTCCGCTGTCACCGCCGCTTCTGCTGATAGACGGGACGAAATCTAGCTTTGTTTCCCCTTTCACAGCATTTGGATAAGCTTGTCGATGACCGACTGAGTTACCGATTTCGTGCGCTTCAGGGACCGGCGTACCACGACCGCGACCGCGACCACGCCCCCGAGTCCGAGATTGGAAAGCGGCATTGGCCCGGCGACCCCGATTGTTTGACCTGGGCGTACACTCAGCATTATTCATGTCGAACGAGAGAATGAGTTATGTTTGCACTTGCATGACTGTCTGATGTTTTGCCGACGAGGCGGGAGGAAAGAGCAGTGCGTGACTTGCATGCACAAGATTCGCGCGTGCATGGATGCAGCTTTCCTTTACTTCCGACCGCCACGACGAGTATGTCTGCCACACACTTTGAAGCCGCTTCAGAACGTGTGGAGGGCGCTGTTCATGTCCTGCTCATCGCTACCGGAAGTGTTGCATCCGTCAAGGCACCATTGATTGTGTCTGAGCTTCTCAAGGTCTGGAATGACTCGTTGCATGAATTGTTCCGTAATAATGTTAAAAATTGCGAATATGTGACACAGTAGTATGAGAACGTCCGAGTCGAGGTCATTGCGACAGATGCATCGCTGACTTTCTTCGACCAG